GGTCGGTCTTGATGTCATAGAAAATAATACTGGGTTCAGTACTGTCCCTTGAGGAACACCCCTATTGGTTTTCACATACTCTGTCGTGATTCCATCAACCTTTACTCTCTGTTGGAGATCTCCCAAAAAACTTCAAACGAGAAGATTCTCACATATTTGGCGTCTTTTTCCATCCATTTTAACCACATGTTATAAGTTTCTTTAATTGATACGCGAGGTACGAGATCTTTACAATAATTCAACTAAAGTTCGTTACTGTTCTCTTCTTTCTCCGTTCTTCTCTTCTCTTCTGAGTATTCGTCCTTTCGGATCTCGTTGTTATCTGTTCTTGTCTTCTTCGTCAGTTCTGTCGTTGAGCTTCCCAACGTTTCATAAGTTAATCTTTACTCCGTCAGTCCACTGAAGGTTCAGGTGCTGTGCACGCCCTTTTATAATGAGGGTTCAGTGACTCTTGCATACGTCATCAACCATAGTGGGCTGATCCTTATCCAGCCAATCAGCGTTGTACATGTAATCAGTGGGTTGGTCTTAGAAGCTCGCTCCAGCTCTCATATTTTGTTTATTTAAGGCGTTGTCGCAGTGGTCGAGTTGGTCTTTCGCTCAATCGATCAATACTAAAACTTGTTCACAACTTAAAATATTTATCAACATGCATTAAAACTATCAAACATTGTTTCTGTGAACCTTATTTTATAACTTAACTATTTATACTACTACTTTAATCGATTTAAACTTTCTCTGACGTAACCCATAAAATGCTCGACCGCGCATTATTTTTTACACAATTGATTGACATACGAACTTTGCAGCTGCCTAAGGCATCCTGTTTTTTAAGATAAAATTTCGCTTCGCTTGGGCTTTTAAGGTATGTAAACTTTACATGTTTACCCAAACCCACTGTTTACCTAAAAACGACAGATCGGTCAAATTGATCGACACTAAGATTAATACAACATTAATTATTCATTCAAACTATCAAGCTTGCAGAAGGAAAAATAATTGATATTTGCGAAAGGCCAAAATTATATTTACCCATGCATTTTGTGGCAATAATCAATTACTCATCCATGCACGGCAGGTGATATTTCCTATTTTTATACTATTTTAGTATGCATATAACTAAACATAATAAAGCCTTGCGTAACATTTGTATCCACAATCGGCAGGTAAACAGTCGCACTCCGAGAGGCATGGAAATGATATTCAAATACGTACATTGCCGTTTTTAACTGCATACAGCAAATCCGCCAACCTTTCTTTGACTCTTCCTCGTTCAATTCGGTTTTAGTCGTAATTTATCCTTAAAAATACAGGCAATTCTCCCGTGGAACCAGCAGTGCTTGCGAAGGTTTTGAAAAATAGCTCGTTTTGCATGATTGCATCAGCTTGATCACGTGGTATAATGTACTTATTTTAACCCCCAAAATGGTGTTACATTGCGCGTAACCCCCTTACGTGGTGTTATTTTAAATCCAACTATGGAGTTATTACGCTGGAATTTTGTAACTCCCCTATTACACCCCTAGAATCCTTTAAAAGTGGTGTTAAAATAACACCCTGAAAATAACAGTGTAGAACCCTGAGTATTTTACCGAAGTCGTCGATTCGTAAACTCAATTGAATTTTATAGTTACAGGTCGTGTTATAAGTAGCCTCAATGCAATTATTACAACAATTCTTAAGCATTTCTTCATGTGTTTTAAGACATTTGCATATACGTGTATTTATATCAAATTCCAGGTGGATTTGCAATTGTGCGAACTACGAATGAGCTGTTTGAAAAAGCATGGCAGACGACGTAGAGGTTTTAAACATAGTGCTATTAAATTTGCACAACGCCGTTCAGGCAATATATTCAATGGAAGGAAGAGCAGACAAGCGAGATCGAAGCGACTGACGACAATTATTTGACTACGTTAGTCGCCTGTATAATGCAACTATATGATTTGTCTGCTATAATAGCAACGTGCACTCAAGCTATTTTACCAACAGCTCGTATTGAACAGATTCTTTCTCCAGATTTTTCGGTTCAAACTTCCCGGGAAGGGATTTCTATAGTGAATTGAAAGGTGTGAACACTTGTTCTGAACTATGACGGGCAATAGCGTAGAATAATTTAGACGCATCGTTCAAAAAATGATCAAATTCGTCGTTATTTGTAGTAGCCTATAGAATGTACCTATAGAAATCAAATGCCTTTACTAAATAGTTCTTTGCTCTCTTACAATGAAATCAAGAAGCCTTCGTCTCACTGCACGCCGATTTCCAACATTTGCATATTATAGGTTCTGAACGTTATCAGGAAGTTCGGCAAATCTATCATGCCTTGCAATATCGTTTGCAATGACGTCCCAAATGGGACCATTCTCCATATACCGCTCATGAATTAATCGTCTTTCAACCTCACCTATGCGTCTTACTTGTCTTGCATTCATTTTTAAAAAAGTTAAAGAAATCCGGCGCGAGCGATTTCAAAAGATTGTCTCTTGCACAATGCAGCAAATCATTTAACTATCGTAATATAGCAGTTACTGCTGATTTGCATTTAAGTTTACTGTGGCTATGGAACTTATTATGATCTTGGGGTTTGAATATACGTTTTAACTGGCATGTTATGGAAATTACAATAATATCACAAAGTCGAGTTAAACTTAACGCTAAATAGTTTCTATCGCATGAAATTCATTTCTGTTATGATCACCTATTAGGTTCAAATAAAAAATGTGATGAAATTACAATTCTTTAGGCGTTTTCATGCAGTTACAAGATGTGAGATTTTTACGTGCGCATGCATGTGTATTGCATATCCCCAAATATATATCTAATGGTAATACATGTCTGTGTGTATCTTCTTTACGGCCTTAAGTTAAGACTATCTTCCTTGATTGAATTAGCCGAAATGTAGTTTTTCTATCAGCACAACGACAGAAAAAAATATACAAGCATTACAATTAATACGGTTGAAAACATGTTTAGTACAAGCAAGCGACTTTTTGTCGTTCATTCGTTCGTCGCTTTCGTCCATTCGTACATGTTTAAATATGCAAACCAATCAGCTTTTCGTAATTTCAATGAAAACATTAGCATACTTGCATATTCGTTCGTTCTCGTTTTACGGTGCAGGTTAACTAATAACGGCCCGACCCTTGCTGCTGAATGTGAATGTTCATCCGATGGTGAAGATCTCCACCGCAACTCAAATGAGGCAAATTCACAATTTCATTTCCACATAATCACTGAATTTAACATTCAGAAAAACCTAAACAATCTAAAAACATCCAAGGCAACCCGGGTTGACGGGATCCCTGCAAGAATATTGAAATTATCTAGCAATATTATTTACTCATACCTGACTTACATCTTTAGTCTTTCAATTTTTTCTGGTATTTTTCTTGTTGACGATTGGAAAATAGCTGGGGTAACACCTATACATAAATCAGAAGATAGAACGAAATGTGGGAACTACCGCACAATATCAATTCTTCCCGAAATAAGTAAACTATTTGAGAAAGAAGAATTTGGGCAACAGTATCAATACCTGATAGATCAGTCTTTGCTCTCACGTTTTCAATGTTGATTCCGACTCAAACATTCGATATTGTCCTTATTAATACAAATGAGTGATAAGTGGATTGAAAATATAGACAATGGAGTAATAACCTGATTAATTTCAGTTGATATTAAGAAAGCCTTTGACTCTGTTGATTATAAAATCCTACTAAAGAAGTTGCACGAGCAATTTGGCGTTCAAAATTTGGAGCTGCAGTGGTTCCAATCTTAAGGGCTGTTTACATGAGCCCGGTTATCTGAGATTCAACGAAGCGTGACAGGACTTTGAGGTATTTAAATAAGTCTTTATGACACCAAACCAGCACATGCTATTGGTGTGGTGATTATGCAACTGCCAGGATCATGTTATCTGCTCATTTCAATAGCTCTAAATCATCTCACGCTTCGTTGAATATCGGGTAACCGGGCCCCTTACTTGGCGAAACGCAGTCAAGTCTGCGTGCTTGATGGCTATGACATCTTCAGTCAAAGAAATTATATGCGGAGTCCCACTGGGATCTATTTTGGGACCCATCATGTTCTTATTATAGAAATGATTTGCCAGAACTCCTGGTATGTATGCCGATGATACGCAAATATATGCGTTTTCTCCACGTTTCTCAGAACTAATAACAAAACTTAATCAGGATCTAGAGAATACAGTCAAATAGCTCCCCAAAACAAATTACAGGTTCATACAAAAAAGACAAAAGCAATGTTTATAGGATCTTTTTATAATTTGAAACACAAAGTTGGGAATGATTAAGTAATGATTAATGATAAACCTGTTACTCGCTACTTCTCTTTTTGTTGTTTGGGAGTAGAACTATATAGACGAAAGATGAGCTCGGATAAGCATATAGATGCAACATTGAGAAAAGTTGCCTCCGGCATTGGAATTATTAATAGAATAAAACAATTTGTACCGTACGAAACTTTACAAAATTTGTATTTTTCCCTCGTGCTCCCATATTTTGATTATTGCTCTCATTTATGGGATAATTGTGAAAGCTATATACCCATTGAAAAATTGCAAAAATAGGGCAAGAATTATGACAGGGGCCAACTACGATGTTAGATGAACAGATTTGCTCCATACTATGTCGTGGAAGAATCTGAATGATAGACATAAAAAGAACAAGACGCCTGTTCTAGTGTTAACTCCGGCATGCCGCGCACGTGCCAGTCTTCAATATAAAGCTTCTGAACATAAACAATACTGTTCATACTCATTTAGACGCTTTGCGAACCTATTAAATGTTGTTTGATGCGAAGCACATCGTACTTTAAAAAGTATAGAACTTCAATTGTTTAAAATGCAAATAGACCGCATGATACACTCGCTTTGTCTTACACTTTGGAAATCGTGCTTATATTAAATCTTCAATCCTGTGCATATTAACTGCGACTTGTCAACGTGCCCATAAACGACCACATCTTGATAAACGGCGAAATAGCAGCGATATTATTAAAATAGGACGAGAATCTACATGTATCAAATCTATTCTTACCCCAATTAAATCTAAACTTAATCAAACAGCCTCAAAAGAACGGTTTATTTTTCCTACAGTATTCTTCAGGTCTTGGGTAGTATCTCGAAGGGGAAATAGGGTATAGTTTTTTGAGGTCTAGAATTTCCGTGAAAGTCATACATACATCCATACATACTTTAGTACCATATATATAAATTTACTTTCGTTTACGATATAATATATTGTTATTGATTGTAGTTTACGATTTTACAATAAAGACTTTACTGACACTAATGCATTCGTGTGAAAAAGCCCCCATCTTCTCGTGCATAAACCCAGCAGCTAGCTTCGGTGCGTGTAATTAGGTGTAGGCTTACACTGGAACGTTTCATGATAAATACAGGCAAGTTGTTTTTCAACTTTTTCAATTTCTTTTTCAGCCTTTCATGATGAGTCAATATTTTCACTCGCGAAGCCCGAACGTCAAAATCTGCCTTCATTGGGGTCAAGTGAATCCCGTATGGTCAAATTCTCACAATTGAAAATCAGGCGAAAAATTTCGTTCGATCGAATAATTAGCTTAATGGAAAACTACAATTAGTCTATTCCAGGAGTCTAGTGTTTATTAATATATGGGTCTTACCACGAGTCATGATCTATTAGTTATCTCAGTTTCAAAAAGAGCAACCCCCCCCCCCCTTTTGTGAATTCATTTCTACAGCACTGGAAAAATATTTCAGTTTTGACAACTCAAACGTTGCTAATCGTACATAATATTGAAGATACGATTTCAAAGCGCTGGTCGGTCATGCGGCTTAAATCCACTTTCAGATTCGACCCCATCTTTTAAAACAAGTTTATTACCGCTATAATCCTTGAGACCAACTAATTTCTCTCCAACATCACCCAGATCAAATTTCGGTAACATTGGAAAATCAGGATCATCAGGAAACAAGCCAAGGTGATGTGGCCAATGCGTTGTCATTTGCTGATTTCTGAACGCTTTAACTCGAGCCTGCAGAGTATTCTGGTCAGCCCAAGCACGTGGTGTCATACAAATATACAATGTATACCGCCATCTTGGGTTCTGGCGGGGAACGTTGGCAGGAACATTGCAATGAAGTAGTCTGCTATCAAATACAACGAAGCTGCCTTTTGGTGCGGGGATTCGAGTCGGAACTAAACCTTTGTTGTGTTCCACCCATTCTAGGTCGTCCTTCGATATAATATTAAAATCCATTTCAGAATTGTATTCATTGTTACGCTGGAACAGTTCTTGATGTAAACTGTGGCTTCCTGGATAACAAGCAAATCCAGCGTCTTCAGTAAAAGCCTACAAAATTATGGACAAAGAAACGTTTAAGTAATTAAGTTTGTAGGTACATCACGTAAGTATATATTACTGCAAATTAAAGCTTTCGGTCCGTTAACCCGAGCCTTCATCTGTGCAATTACCATTCACACGTCACTTAAATATCACGTTAGTCGTGATTTGTTAGCTCGCGCCATTAATTACTTAATTACTTATCGATTGTCACTATGTAAACGTACAAGAATATTATTAAAGAAACGTTTATGCACAGATTAGAAAGAGGTAATGGAGCGATGCGGTTGGCTCCTCGACTAACACAAATAATACTCTGACCATACTTAACGGAGATTAGTCAAAAAATCATGACAATTTCAAAGTAAAAAGACAAATTCCGAAAAGACAAGACATCTCGAGAGTCAATAATTATATGATTCAAACAAGGCAATGTCAATTTTATTCCAAATTCATGATCTCCAGACAGAATAAATAAAGGAGTATCACTACCTGAAAAACGCAATACCTCAAAATATTTCACGTCAAGTTTATCATCCAAACCGAGTTGTATGAACAGCTCGTAACAAAGAAAACCGTCTGAAATTTTATTAAGTTCCGTCATGACTGTAGACTATTAGCGAACACACTACCACTCTTTGGCTCATTCAAAGTTGAAGTTTGCAGTGGGGTCTGGGGCTTAGCTTGTACTTAAATGGTAGCAATATGGTTCTCATAATTTACTCGCTCTGGTTGAGCATATTAAGCTTTGTAACATTTAAATCACCGCTAAAATCACTTAGCCTTAGAAAGGCAAACGTATTGTCCATTTTGACTGTAGAGTACCAGCAATTACATGTGCGACTTTTGACACTCTTGGGTTTCATGCAACGTTTATACATTCCAGTGGGGTTTGGGGCTTAGGTCGTAATTAAATGGTGGCAATATGGCAATTATATCTCATGATTCTCATGATTCACTAACTCCGTACAGCATGTAGGCTTTAATCACTTATGAAAGCAAACTACAAACATTTTTAAAGCAATGAAGATGAGTTGAATTAGAGCAATGAGTTGAGCCTGCCCATTTTTACAACTGACTATGGTTAAGAAAATATCAGCTGCATGTTTTTACGTACCTCTTCCAAGTTAAGAACACCTTGAACGCAATGAAAGCCTTTCTTCTTCGGACTTTGATCAGTGTGGAACCAGCTTTGTGTGTACTCTAAATCTTCAACCATCTCAGCCGGTCGCAAGATGCACATTGCGTCAAAACTAGTCAACAGTTCTCCTGTTCCCCAGATCTCCTTGAATACCCCGATCACATTTGGGTTTGTCCGGGCCTTCCATATGAACGGCGCATGTCCGATACGATATCTTTGAATGATACCGTTGAAATTACTTGGCCACCGCTCATTTGTCCACGTTTTTGGGTCTCCGCGGTTGATACCAGTTCCCAGCTTGAAAAGCCACTCCCAGGCTTGCTCAATGATGTGATCACATTCCTGAGAGGAAAGAACATTTGGTACAACAGCGTAACCATGGGTATTAAGTTGATGAATCCAAGATGGGGAATTTGCCGTGACGTTCAATTCATTTCTCGGTTTCGTTTTCCTATGAACAAAAAAGTTTTTATTGGTCGATATGTGCAGGGCCGAAACATGAACGATAAATGGGCGGTGTTTATCCATGTATTCAGTCCTTCCCGACGGATTTCTTTCGTAGGTGCAATCGCTTACAAAAGAAACCCGTCGCCTCCTCCCAATTATCGTTATAGTTTAGGTCCCATCGATTTGGTCTCCGAAAACTTGCTAAAAAATTTTTCTTCCCTTTGTCAACAAACGTATGATTATGTGATTATGAAACGTATGACTGAAATTCCATCACCGTAACAAACTCAAAACGCCATATTACTGATAATAGGGTTAAGCCAAAAACCGGCAATAACTAACGTAAATTGTTAAATTCATTAAACATTATTTTAGAAACAGCTTATACTCTAATATATTCGACCTGATTGATCAGCTTGGTGGGGTGAGAACATCACTAATCATATAGTTCATAAATCAATTTTATTATTCTAATATTCAATGAAAAAAAAATTGGAATTGGCACGCTTCGCTGTACGTCAATCAGTTGCATTGATAACGATGGCAGCCAATGTTTTAAATTCCGTATACATATTATTAAATTCAAACGAATGGAATATACATGTATTTTACTGGAATTTATTCCTTATGGGGGTCATATTCATGAATTTGTTTATACCCGATATGTCTCAGCGGTTGACAAAAGAAATCCATCGGGGAGAACTGAGTTTGAAAAACGCAACTCCAATTATTTTATCTTGTTACATTCACTATACAGGCGCCTTAGCTTAAAATTTATCAAACTGCCCTGTGAATATACCATCTTACAGCCAGTTAGTGAGAATGGTGCAAAATGGCTACATAAAACTAGGAATATATTGTAAGATAAAAGGAAACCTGAGGCTTTAAAGGAACGTATAACCGCTTATTTCTGTGATTTTTTTCTGTGATCGTGAAGTTATATTGTACTCCTCTTTCACTCAATCAAATTCTTGAGGTGTCAAAACGCACGTTCTGAGCTAATAATGGTCTGATTTCAACACAGGATACTTCTTCGGGGGCAACTCTGCATGTGTATGGAAGACCGTTTGTTTATAGGTCATCGTGGTCGGGCATGTTGCTGTGCATGAACGACGAAGCAGAGACAGGGAGAGCTAGATCTCACTTCCCGGCCCCCCACTTTTTTGTTGAACAAAGCAAAAAAGTATCTGATAAAGAGTGTGAATTTGACATCCAGTTCTAGTTCTGCCCCACCTGCTTTTCCAAAAAGCCCTTCGAAGCAAATGTGAATCTTTCTGATGAGAAAATAGCATGAATAATTCAACTGAACGAAAACCTGCATATATGTGCGGCGCTTTCCTTTCATTACTGTTATCTTGGAGTGTTTTAGGACATCTGCATTCAGATTTAATGTTATTTACATCTGATGAGCAGGAAAAACGCAGTCTCACGGCTATATTTTCAACGAAATTCAAAATACGACCGGTTTGACCATTTTGGCCGCTTAATGGAAAGTGCCCTAAGTGCTGTTGAATGTTCGCTTCACGGGCTCAGCCTCTGGGCTTTATTCAAGCTATATCTAGACCATGAAGGTCCTTATAATAAATCAGGTAGTGGGATACGAAGCTGAACACTTTCACCTCACCCCAATGGCCCAATCAACATCATGCGCACGTCCATGGCCCTATATATAATATAACCATGTAACGGTGGCAATGCGAATTTGCAATTATACCTTTAATAGCCACAGCATGCCAAGCACAAGGACCTACAGAGCAGCCCTGCAGTTGTATGTCCTAACGTTTTCTCCTGAGGATTTGATGAGAATTAATTCGATCAAGCGAAGTTAGTCGAAGGAACTTAGCCTTAGCCTTAGGAGTTAGGTCGCAATGTGCAGAGCTGTTTTGCTGCATATCTGAAGCAGTCAATGAAACATTTCGACTATTCGATAAACATGAAATGCATAAGACAATGTTAACACGTAATAAGGTAGCAATAATATTTACCAAGACACGTCATTATTTCCCAGAGAATATTCGCCTCCAGATTTTACTTTGGCAGACGACGAGGTTGAGGCAGCTGTCCTTATCATCATAAAGGCTTTTACTCCTATAGTTGTGCCTCTGTCTCTGACGTTGCTAAACATTTTGTGAGCAAGAGTGGCCGCCATTTAGTTGTCAACTGCTAGATATCTTTGAGTCAAATGATAAGCAGTTTGAAATTGAATCGTTTTAAATAGCAAATCAAATGACAAATCGGATTTTACATAAATTACATCTTGTCACGTTTTGTTCGACTAAGTCATATGATGTGCACAGTGTAAGTAAAAATGTTATATTTATTCTTTTCACAATCCATTATAGTTGCTACAACAGTAAAACTTCTCTCAACTCGACTGTACAACATATATTTACACGTTTGTTTCTGTAAAGAGCATCAAATTTGCATATGACATTGCATAAGGGTCAGTGGAAACCCTGCTCTTGAACGTGTCAAATGCGTGCCCCGCACGTGCAACGTAAATGCCATTTGCATGATCAGAGATCAATTGCCTTGTAGAATATGCTTTAGTATTGGAAAATCCGGAGATTATTTTCACCGGTAATTTGGTGGTAAGCGTGTCTTATGCGTGCTCCGCATGTGCGATACGCGTGGGTATTGCGTGATCAGATTTTAGTTCGTTCGAATTTTCGGACTATTTCGTAATGTAAAAGATTAGGTAAATAATACTTACTGGTTTTCAACTCTATAGTGAAATGTCGTTTATGCATATAATTTATTTATAAACAGAATATAAATGAGTGTGATATATACTTGGTTTTGTAAAACTTCAGTATTACTCGCTTGTTTGAAGTAGTCATTGTCATCATTGGCTTCATTGCTGATTTGTGTGCAATGAATATGTTCTCTCTTACCGTCCGCTCGTCGCGAAATTCTCGTTAGCCATTGTAACTTATGAAGTAAACGATTATTTGAAAATGCTAATTATTTTGATAGATATTGTATATATTTATTCAGCTCTCTGACTTTTAAAATGTTCACTGCACATGCCTTTTATTAACTACGTAATTTGACCTGCTCCGATAGCACTGAATCAGGTATACCGTGTAAACGTATACCGTGTAAACGAAATCCCTGAAATTATATTGTATGTATACATTGTATTCAAAATATACATTCTTTTCCGATCAAAGTGACAAAGCTGAGCATCCAAATTAACTTGTTTACAAGAACACACAAGCAATATTAATCCAGTGTACGTGGAAGTATATTTCGCCAACATCGACGTTTTAAGTAATAGATCCAGCACAGCTTCCTAAAGTTTGGTTCTAGATCTCCCGATTAGTGGAACTAGGAAGGTGTGCAGGAGGATGCAACAACACAACGGCGTCAGCGAGACAGCAAGTCAGCATCTCTTATTCCCACTCGACAAAACATGGAACCAAAACAATCATTTCACTGATTTTGTTATGCCGATGAATGAAGTCTTATTAATGGGAGTGCCAATCATGTGATGTAAAATATCTGCATGGTTGCTAGTTGGGCTATATTTCTTGAAATTCGCCCTTGCAAAAATAATTTGAATATCATTCGGTGTAAATTCCATATGCTAATCTATATTCATGCAAGCACTTTCGTCTGCAAATCTACTCCATTACTCCTTAAATTTACTTGCACCGACTGAAACAAAACAGAGGTTTGTAGTTTTTCACGATAACTACAGGCAAAAACACAACTTCCAGTCTTCTATAAGAGTGAGAAGACAGATTGCAAAAAACCTAAAGTATTTAGATTACACGATAAGTTGTATGCAATTATCATTCTGACGAATGCAAAAGAGGGCCTATATGCCGCAATCTTCATTCGTATTAAGTTTAGGGTGAAATTTAAGTCACGTTTGTACGTGTGTGCATACGTTCACATACCCTAGGGTAAGAATTGTATTCCACAAATTGCATAGTATAAATGTGCATAAAGAAAAAGAGGATGAAAACCTGTAGTATCTATAGGTTGCAACATACTGTAACCCCCTCACACACACCTCTTTTGATGTTAAGCGTCTATCTCCGTTACCGTTACTAAGAAGCTCTCGAGTTTACTTGCCGCTAGGAAAGCTATCAAACTAGCACTTACCGTCGCTGGGTAACGCGGTTAGCAAATTACTGGTCTCAATATAAAATATAAACAAGAACAGTGCCAGTAAAAGACGTATACTTATGTCTGGGCATGAAGTGTTCGTACATAGATTTGCGCGTTGAATACAAACGCGAGCAATGGATATTCAGTAGAAATATTGGCTCATATTATAGCCATTATGTATCCCCACAACGAAGTAGATAAAAGTATTTCAACATATTGTAAACTTCTATTGCCATGTAGTTTTTCTCTGCGGAGGATCGGGAAGTTTCGAGCTGTTTGGATCGACGCAAACCTGCTTAACATCTAAAGGTATGCTTTAAAACTTCCTAAAATTCGTTCATAAAACCGATTCATGACGGCAGTGAAGTGTGTGGCAATGTATCCGTGTAGCAATGGGAGGGATGGTACAGAGTTTTAAGCATTATTATCTCTACATCAGTAAATTAATATGTTTCTTTTTCTGGTAAATCGATCGGCAAATAAGGCATGCATGTATAAGGGTGTTGTGATTGCGTTGCTTCTTAATTAATAGGGAGTTTACGATCTAGTACGCAGTTAGCTCGACGTCTCTAGTTAATTATTTTGCTTAAAATGAGTTACAGGAAATTGATCATATTATGCATAGCTAATGTCTCGCGTGTGGAGTTTTTTTGTTTTGCAAGCGCGTCGTCGAGCTGGCCGCTAATTTTAATGCTTTTGCGGGAAGATTTTTGCGTCTCAATATTTAGTCATTTCCATCGAAAATGCAACATCTTCGTGTAAGTGCAGTGGTTTTTACGCAGTATAGTTCAAAAATAAATTAAAACAAACTTACACCTAAATTCATAGATTGCAAAACATCAATCAGTTGCGGATCCATGGAAGGCTGAATAAATACTAGCTCTAAATCGCATTGGTTTATTTTTTAAATCAGGCCTCCACTTTAAACATGATCAACAACTGACATCAATCAAAAACGTACGTCCGTTTTGATGGTTGTGTCGTGCGCATGCCTGCGTTTTCCGATTTGAATTTAATTTGTTAAATTGCGAACTGTCCAATGAACTCCGACTAGCCGTGTTGATAACCATTTTGGTAAAAATTTGCTATGTCTTGCAATTACATGAATATTGTTGGCGTGCAATGCAATTATAGTAGAAGTTACTTCAATATGGACAAAGGTTTTTCAATGTATCATCCAGACAATTCAGTTCTAAAGCTCGCCGCACACCAGAGCTAACGACCTCGTTAGTCCCAGTTAGCTCGGCCCGAAAACTATCGATTCACGTGAGAAACTTGGCTCTCGAGGCCAATTCCTCACGAAAAACTATCCGCACTCAAGAGTATATAACCTTGCTCAGCTAACAACCACGCGTGGTCTTTGTGCTCAGCTAATAACTCACAATAGCTCACATGTGCGGCGGGTTTAAACAATGCAGGCGAATGCGTTTAGTCGATGTTCGGAAAACGTTCAGAGGGTGATTATACTTATATTGCCTGTTTCAAACGCTGTGCCTCTCATGTGCAGCGACCGCAATAACACATCATTAGTCATATTGTTATACCCTCACCTCGTGCATAGTTACACCCTTACGCCGGCCAGATCCCCAAAACCGGCGGCACACTAGGAAGGGAATACACTAAAAAATGTTTGAAGATGCTCATCTCTCTATACATATTTAGAATTACATCAGCTTCTGACTTTGGAGCAATTGTAAAATGTGTATTACGGACTCGTCAGTTCGTAGCTGCTGCATGCTCTTCTTGTATTGATTATAGCTATAAAAAAGACAATAAAGTAAAGTTAAGTAAAGCGCTTATTTATAATTAGTTAAAGTTGGTTGCGCTTTTTGTTTTGTTATATTTTCATGGAATTTGTGCAGACTGAAGGCTCCCACTTGGCTAAAGGCTCTCGCTTAAGCCTGTTTTCCACTCATCGCAAAAACTAATTCGCAAATTCTCGGCAAGTAATTTCGTCCAATAACAATGACAGTGGACAGTTTATTTTAATTAGATGCAAACACTCGCAGCGAGCTTGCAAGTTGATTTTGCGATGAGTGAAAAAGACTTTAGGTGAGATTAGATGAGATTAATTAGAATAGTTCATAATCATCTTTCACCAATCCTGCAACTTTCCTCGTGATATTTCATTAAGGCTATGTCGTTTTCCAGCGTCGTTTTCCTCGTCCACACGAGCGTCGTTTTCCAGCGTCTTCAAAATCGTTTTTATCTGATTTATCGCTTTGACGCCTTGTCCACACGATCCCAGAAAAAATGCTCAATGAGTTGAATTAGCTTCAACTTTTGTTGTTTGAAATTCTCAAATAATGAATTGACACAAGGCAAATCACCTTTGGGCCGGTTGTTATAAAAAGGGAGTTAACTTTTCACTATAGTTAGTGGCAGAATTGACCAATCAGAATAATGTATTTTATAGTTAACTACGATTTAACTATTTAAAATGTATAGTTAAAAGTTTTATAGCTATAACAGGCCCCTGTTTGTTAAAGTAGGCTTTATTATATTCGTGGCATCATAAAATTCTAGTTTCTGCAAGATGCAATCTAATATGCAATGATTGTAGTCTATTACCTATTCTAAGATATATTGTTCAAAAATAGTCATCTTGCATGAGTCTATAAACTTAATATTGAGTTGTATCATAACTTTGCTGTTGCTAAAATGTCTCCGCGAGTAAGAACTTCATTGTGAAATATTGAATCTTCCAGTAGGGTGGCCTTGACCGCTTTGTACAACTAAATTTATAAGCCAGTATCTATACAAACATGAATCCTCATATAGTTACCATTGCATGTGGTTGCGCACAATACAACAACATGGCAACTATAGAGACGAGATCTTTCGCCGGTAGTGGGTGAATGCTGACTACGGGGCATCCCCAATTTTTGATCGACTCATATTTAAAGGTTGACTCAGCAGTTCAACTGTAAGTGCTTAGGTGGTGAGGCAGAAGGTGAGTCGAGTATTTGGTCAGATCTATATAGCTTAATTTCATCGGATATATGTCGTAGATCTCGTATCTCATTGTCAAGATGTGGTTTCCACAATGTTTACCGCAAAATACTGTTTCAATATTTACAATCAATATAGCCTAGTTTGGAATGAGTATATTATGAGAAAACGAATTTACTATTTTAGCTACGTTTGGAATTATGTGACACTCAATATTCGTTAAAATTAATATAGGACGTGATTGTAATTGTTTGCATGTTTCAAAAGATTTACTTCAGTGTTTCAGATACATTTTTGAAATGCATATTCAATCAAAGACTACAATTTTTATTATTGCATGCAATAAGTAGGCTTCAATTTTTATTTCTGCAGATTCACTGTGTATGAGATCATTGAGATATATATATAACTTTGATAATCCCTGCTTCGTAGTTTTGATATGTTTTGATATTATCGCAGTGTGGTCATTATCAAGGATAAGAATTTATGATATTTTCCTATTTATCAATGTAGGCAATGAGGAGCCCTTTACTCTTCAGCTATTTCTTGGCTGTCAGTTTGACCACTTTCACCGGTGAGTATTTTACATTTTGTACGGTAAAACATCAACGCTGCGACAGGCACGGCCACCATGGATGAACGCTCCACATGCAGCGCTAGCAGGATGCCCCCTCAGTGGTGGATCTAGGGGTGTGCAGAATAAATTACTACAACTTAAAATCCGAATCGCATTGGTAGATTTTAATGTAAAATAATATTTTTAAATCTATAACCAATAGCGTTGTTATTAAGGCGTTTTGAATTTAAAATTAAGCTGTGTAATTTATTCTACAAAACCCCCAGATCTGCCACTGGGGTGCCCTCGAACCCACCATTAATACTGCATAGTACAGAACAGGGTCCTTCGAGGTACAGAACGCTTTATTGGGAGAAGTGTGTATTCATATATTCGTGTTCGAATAAACGCGTAAACGCAGTAAAAAGAAATCGGACGTGTATAAAACGAATAATATTATATAAATTTATTTTATACACAAGCGCAGGATATGAGCTAATGTGCACTCTTATTGGCTCGCTACTAGAAAGATATTAGCTCGCATCGAACAACAGCAACCGACCCACGATCGAACCACAGCCTAAGCGTAGCCTAACGGCAACCGCAGTGTTTGGCAAAAATTCAATCACAAAACATCATGTTACTGTTGACTGTAGCCTAAGAGCTTTCCTCGTTCAGAGCTACTTCAAAAAACAAAATTTGCTAATTGCCTCTTTTTTGGACACCCACCCAGCCCTTGCATTTAGGGGCTGTTTACATGAGCCCGGTTACCCGAGATTCAACGAAGCGTGAGAGGACTTTGAGGTATTAAAATAAGTCTTTATGACACCAAACAAGCACATGCTATTGTTGTGGTGATTATACGACTGCCAGGATCATGTTATCTGCTCATTTCAATACCTCAAGATCTTCTCACGCTTCGTTGAATCTCGGGTAACCGGGCTCATGTAAACAGCCCCTTAATCCTGCAATCAGTTTCATTATACTGTCATTATTATTTCAATTTTAGAAAGCGCCAAAATTGACTGGAGTTTCCATGGAAAGAATGGTGAGTCTCGACCCCAATTTGACAACTCAAACATCGGTTCACTATTTCTGCACATTTATTTATACCTATATCCATCTTTTTTTAAAATATACTACATAATGATCTTTTGATTATTATATTTTATGAAGCTGATTCCATCTATATTCCCGTTACTGTTCATAAAGCTGATTCCCATGCATCGGGAGGTGGCATGCGAAATTTTGTCACTACATCGACGATTGCTTCAGGATTATACTTACACGACTACCGTCATAGGCTATACGTTACACTGGACAGGAGGAACTTGGGACCATGTTCGGATTCGTCTGGTTTCCTCGTGTAAACACGTAGAACCGGTCAAACTTTCTTCTCTTTCGAGCACGGTTCCAAATTCATCCGGTGCCGTGTGAACGCCTTAAGGTGGCATTGAAAGACTGAAGACGCGTGTGTAAATAAAATTTTCAGCTGATTATTTGCATGATACTGCTTCCTCTTTCTCGATGGCACTCCTGATTCAATTTAAATTAAAATATTTTTCTATTTTTCTTTAAGGTCCTTCTCATTGGTCGAGATCCTTCCCTCTATGCAGCAACAAGCGTCAATCCCCATCAACATCCCCCTCTACAAGAAAGACTTTAGACCTTCCCTCAGATCCTCTTTGAAGTTTTCCCATTACACATGCCCATGTCGCGGAGACTTCACAATGCAAAATGATGGCAAGACTTTCAAGATTGATCTAAGAAATGCATTGGCTTCGTTAACCTTGAACCGTGCGAGACGTTATTTGTTAGATCATCTGCACTTTCACTGGGGAAGTAGCAATGAGATTGGTTCTGAACACCAGTTTGAAGGAAGAAGCTTTCCCGCTGAGGTAAGGCAAGACCGCGAAAAAGTATAAATCCTTTCATTAATCAAGCAAATGATTTTGGAAACAATTCATATTCTGAAGCATGTCTAATACCTCGTATATTTCGTCAATTTGTCTGCTGTAAATTATATGAACGCTCATCCTTTATTTATAATTCACTCTCGTATAAATATAAGCTACACTTGACGCGTTTTTATCATTTTATCTTTGGTAATAATGTTTCATACCAGTACTTTGTGTTCCTACAGCTTCACTTTGTACACTATAACATAAAGTTTCAAAATTTATCTGTCGCTATTGATCAACCTAAAGCTCTCGCTGTTCTTGGAGTTATGATCGAGGTTTGTAATTTTTTTTAATTTACCTTGTTTACGACATTGATAAGTATAAACTAATTATTCAATATGGGTTGTCTTTCCAAAACCCTTGTTTGTTCTGTTTCTCCTCAATTGTTCGCTGGAATAAAACTGAGCAAAACTAGAGGGTTTCGCTCAAATATATATTGCCCGTGCCTCAAAAAGCTATATTTTAGCCTAACCAAGCATAATATGGCAATTAATTTATTCCTTAACTTCCACTTCGCGTTTCATTATTGGGGTTGTGAATAGAAGAAATGTCAACATATGATAATTATACGCGTTAACCTAAAGTATGACTGACTAACTGTAAACCCGACTAGAGGTACTAGGTTGGATATGATAAATCCTTATAATAAACAAGCACTCATCTTTTAATACTGCATATATTGGCCCAGCTGTTAAAGGGCTTTTAATTTTCCAAAGTCTTTTTTAGACGTAATGTCAAATTAAGGCATGCTATCATTACCCCTCGATTTGCTATACGCAATAAATAAAGGAAACTGCATTCATCTTTTTTGCCTTTTACCTTGGTTTAGGTTGGACGACGGAATCCAGTATTTGACAACTTTTTAAAGTACATTCACAGAGTAAAGAATATAGGTAAAAAGAATAACGTAAACTGAACCAAACCAATGATTAAATATTACCTCTAGTTTATCAGTTAAAAATGCATGCCCGCATTCATTCTTTCCGTATATCAAACTTCTTCCCTATACTATAGGTACAAAATTTAGGTTTCCGTCATTCGACGTAAAAAACCTGCTACCAAAGGACACTGAGAGGTTCTACCGTTATGAAGGTTCACTAACAACACCGCCATGTTTTGATAACGTTACCTGGACAGTTCTGTACACTCCTATTGAAATATCACAACAACAGGTAATACAATCATACTATTTGTACATTTTATACATATTTCTAGTTTATTCCGGTCACTTCCCGATTGTGCGAAACGCGTTTAATGATTCTCGTTATTTACACTGCAAAATTAAATAGCTCAGTTTGGGTTTTTTTCGCCAGATGTAAAATGCCAAAAAGATATAATATCCCTCGCGGTGGTATCATCTATTCTGACGAGGTTCTGACGAAAGGTCGAAGCGTCGAGAAGTTTTTAAGGCAGTTTTTAAACCACATTTGAAGTTGATCAGAAAAATAAATGAAAAATATGAAAGTATACGCTGTCTGCTACTCCAAATTTTGGGCTCCATGCATGCACAGGATCAGCGATCAAAATTCATTCATATAGTTGGTACGTGGTACGCAGGGTTCTTATTAATCAACCCATCCAGTTGTTATTTACTAAGATAACACCCAGCATTTCTCCGCATGTGAAGTCTACAAATTTCGAAGCTCTATATTTTATATAACTGTAACAAAATTTATTTTATTTATTTATTTATTTATTTATAAAATTATTTTATTCATTAATTTATCTATTTATTTATTGATTGATAAAGATTCCGAGCACTGAAAGATGGTCAGGGGAAGGCTTTAGTGAACAACTTCCGCCCAGTTCAGGATCTGCATGGGCGTAGTGTATCTAGTAGTTTTCGATTATGTAAAATACACGCGCACTAAAACTTAGTCTGGACAAGGCCTATACTGTAAGGAAAAGGTTTATGTGGCCGCTTTGTTATAGAATACCACAGGAAAGGCCCGTAATACAACTTGTGTCGTAACCGCGTAAATATCAGGTTTAGGGTATGCTCTTATACTGTACATACTATTTATAGTATGAGTGACCTCTCCCTCAATCGGATTCAAAATCAGATCAAGCCAACACAGAAAGGTGTAGTACAACTTGTAGTAGAAATGAGTAACTCTATATCTTAATTTAATACGATATTTAGCAATTTGTTGACAAATATATATATAAGACTATATAAAGTCTACCATAATTTGCTGATATAAAGTACCTCAAACATGAATAATGTAAAGCTAGATTACGTATTATACTATTTCTGGCACATAGTATCACAGACATATAATTTTTGACAATATATATTTGACTAAAATTTACTATAATGTCTACTATAATTTGCTAATATAAAGTAACTCAACATATTACCAATAACAATAATAAAAAAACATATAGTGACTGCTTGGGCTGCCTGTGCTATGAATTCGTCAAAATTTCTCAAAGTTAAATCTACGCGAACAGAAGGGCAGTATTTCCGGGAAATTATTGCTATATTGCTATTGCAACAACGTGATGAAAAGCTTCGCTTGTTCGCTGTATCGCAGCGACAAATTTTCAAGACTCCTGCTCCCCAAGAAACAATTAAATATTGAAACATCCCATAATGTCGCTGGGAGGTAAGAATTTGGAATCGACCGATATACAAATTTGCACGCTTTAGTGAAGGAATAATTGTATATTCCAAGTGCGTTATGACTTATGTAAACAGTGAAATAGTGATTTGATCTTATGACATTGTGGTTTTAAGGTTTTCCAACTGTTCTACCTTACATGGCATGATGCAACTAGACAAACCACTCACTACTTATTTTACTTGTCATTATCCAGTGGCGTGGTGGAAGGATAATTGAGAGCTGTTTATACATATATTCAGTTCTGCCAACGGATTTCTTTTATAAGTCCAATAGCTTACAATAAAGATCTGTTGGGCAGAACAGAATTATGTATAAATCAAACACCGCCTTCTAACTACTCCCCTGACAGGCTGTCATTATAAAAAATAAACAGAAGTTCAAAATCAAGCTGGAATATGTCAGGGAAGGGAAAGGAGGCAGGCAATTGTGGTCACTCTGGTGAAGTAAAGGCTTCAGATAAAATGTGTTTCTTAATTGAGAAGTACCGGTACCCCTCAGCAATTATGGTCAGTTGTATAGGCCTAATGTCTGAATAATCAATCTAAGCTTTAAATGTCCTGTAATGTTGTTTTTGTGTAACAAATACCCTGTGAAATTCATCATATGATATAGGGAAATTAGTACCTTCCTCAGCCAAAACTAGATAGGATATGGGCCACCTGAATTTAAGGCCTTTATTTTTTTACTCTACTAATATAAGGCAGAGGGATAGCAAATTGCATGTGAAGTGAAGGCCTTTGTTAATGGACTGAAAGTCTCCAGTAATAAAAGTACATTTGGTATGCATATACGCACTAATAATAACATGCTGTTGATCACTATGCAGAATTTTAAGAATATAATTCAAATAATTTTTCAGGGAAGCTGGCTTAGAATATTCTTGACGATCCTCATTAGAATTGGTAAAAAAATAAGAGCAATAAATAAAAATGAAACTATAGAAAGAAGACCCATGCTACAATTCTGATAAATGATACAATAACTCTCAAGGGTAGGAATGTCTTCCTGCACTCTACTTGTATCTAACCTCCAAATCCATGGCTTGTGTGGTTCATGGGACCTACCACTAAGATGGGCTTGCCTCCAAGATGAACCAAAAGTTTTGGCAAGATACTGCTCAGGATTACTATGTGTTTTGTAATTCAGTCCATTGATAGTAATGTTTGTTGGCACAGTCCTACCCCCTTCATAAGCGTACATATCAACATAACCTATTGAATTCCATTCAGGTTTACTGATAGGTATAAAACCTCTCATTTGATCCAGTACTTTTTGGCTAAATAGGTCATTATTCAACAGGTTAGGGATATGGGTTTTCAAAGGAAAAAGGGGCATTATTCTTCTAAGTTGATATATAAGAGGCGTAGCATAGCGTTTCTTTTGCATCACTTTTTGTAGCCTGTAAAAACCCAGAGAATCTGTGTAATCTGTAGGAGTTAGATCAATATCAACGTCTCTTGTCCATGGAATAATGTTTTTAGATCTCACAGCACCTAACAAGGTGCCACGACAAAGACGGTAGTCTATCCCAACTTCATTAAGCCCATTAACTGCATCAATTAAGTATTGATTTAGAGCAACATCACAACAGAATAGTGAAAGTTGCCTTGAAATGGGATTATCAATTTCTTTCTGTGGCTTATTTGGGCAATAATATTCCCTTCTTGTACACATGGTCCAAGTAATAGAGTCCTTGCGAATAACCCTTAGTATGTTGTGATGGTATCCCAAAAGTCCATAGTCCAGATAAATCTCTTTTGTTTCCATGGCTCCTCTATCAGCAACTAATTGCTCATCAATAAAAGTACAATTCAATGAAGTAGCAAATTTGAGGGTGCCTTTAGATCTGAGAAAGAAGTCAACTAATGTAGCTTCCCCATGGGATGGTCTAAACCCAAGTTTATCAAACACATTTCGTCGAATCAGGAATGGTGCTTCCACAATATTGCATTTAAAGAACGATATATTTTGTGTAGCCATTTGCCTTGTTTGTATTTGACCCCCTTCGTTTATAACCATACTCCAGTGTTTGGTCAAAAACCCACATGATTCAATGGTGTTGTTTATAGAGTTTACAGAATGGCCAGCACAAGTAGCCCCATCAAAATCACTCCAAGATTCAAGAATATCTTCAAGATGGTTGACACTATAACAGGACTTTCTTCCACACGAGCTACAAGCGGTTTTTCTCGGTAAAACAAGAATGTATTTTTCTTTACCACGTGCTTGACTTTTTCGTTGGTGAATTCCTACAATTTCCACATTGGAATATAGATCTTTGTCCGCAAGATTCCTCTCCAAATGGCAATTGATTTGACACGAAAACGACTGAATCCCTTCTGTAATCGTAAAACCACACGGGTCCATAAACTCATTGAATAGAATTAGAAGTGTACTAAGAAGAGATGTCAAAATTAGAAAGAACTGCGAACATTTGCCTCGCTTTAAACAACATAAGCGAGACGCCATTTATATTTAAGGTTGTTTGTCTATGCTGCTATAGCCTTAATAGCAGTTTAATATCATGATAGTAATCTCCATATATTGGGCCGATATATTAACTGTGCGGAATGAAAGCAGCTATTGAGCCAATTATCTCATCGTAGTGACTGAACTCAAGGACATCGCCTTGAATATCAAAGAAAAGATTAATCTAAAAACGCTATTTATTTCACCACATCTTACATGATTTCATCCCAAATGTAGTAAACGGGCAGTAATGTTTGGTATGGCACTCGGAAGCTTCCACATTTGGCATATCCTTTTCGATATTACATTAACAGAAAATTGCGACACGACGAGTGTCCTATGTAAACTAATTTGCATTTTACCCATAAAGGCCATAAAGGCCATAATAGCCTTCACACATAATGGCCTCCAAGTAAAAGAACAAAACTTAAAATCGCCTTCGCTATTGATCTTGCCCACTGTTTGCCGACCTTTTAATAAAGCTTTGATGATCGAAATACTTCAGTATCTTTACATTTTTTCGCATGGTTGAACTGCCCATAGTTATCATCCCACTGTATAACTATCAACTGCCTGATGATATTGATATTAAGTGATAGCGGAAAAAATCCGGACCCTACAGGAAAATTTATATCAAGAATACGAAACAGAAAATATAGTAGATGTGCATAATTAGTAAGAAACGTTCTCTCGTTGAAACTTGCAATTATTTTTATTTATTACAAGCTTGCGGCTATCAACCCTTGTCAATGCGCTATTTGCTTGTAAATATTCTCAGAGGCGTAGCTAGGGCTGGGGCCGGGGGGCCTGGCCCCCCCTGGCGAAATTTTGGGCCCCCCCTGATAAAATGTATTGGATGAAAAAGAATCCCTGATCTCGATTAGTCGATTGCATAAATTTATGCTGCCAATATTGCGAAAATTTTAAAGAGTATATGCTTTATTGCACGCGGTATTGTAAATCACAAAATCTTGCTCGCTTAGTTGCAAAAACGCGCTGAAGCACATACCTTTTTTACCGTAATTATTTCTTCAAAATATTAAATGAGGGTTATATGAAGTCTATGCAGATTCGTTTATCTGCCAGTGAATTTTTAACGCGGGCTCAGTTTGACAAAATATTTTATTCCAAATTTGTAAAATCTAAATTGCAAATCAACTACAAAATATGCATACTTTATCACAATCTTCATCACAAAGTGGATCAAGTTCTCAGCAATTTCGTGAACAGTCAAGGCCTTTATTACCACACTACCCGAAAAAAAGGCAAGGGAGTCGAGAAAGATCTTTCCAAAGTTCATGGTACAAGGTTTTTTCTTGGCTGGAGTATTTCAAAGATGTAGATTCATGTTTTTGCTATCCTTGTCAAATGTTTGCAAAAGATTCGACTAAAGAAAAAACATTCATAACAAATGGATTCTCTAACTGGAAAACAGCAATGGAAAGTGGGAAAGGATTTAAAAAACATGAACAGTCAGAGGTTCATATGCGAGCAGTGGCATCTTGGAAAGAGAAAGAATTCCGTGAGAAACGTGGTCAGACAGTACGAAACCTCATCCAAGTCAAGCCAGAACACAAAATATGGCTGAAAACAGTATTCAACACTACCAAATACCTTGTTGCTAATGGTCTAAGCTTTCGTGGACACGAAGAAAATTCAAATTTGGAAGAGGGCCCGTCAGGAGGGTTGTATTTAAATACATTTACTGATCTTATCTTTCCACAAGATCCACATTTGCAACAAATAGCGAAGAATCTTCCAACCAATGCAAAATATACTTCACCAGAAATACAAAATGATGTGATTGAAACCCTAGCAGAAATTGTGAGAGAGACAGTAGCCAATGAGTGCAAGGAGGCAGAGTTATTCACTTTAATGATGGATGGGACTACTGACAGCTGCCAAAGGTACAGTATCAAATTTAAGTTGATTAATTCCTATAGTAGTCTTTATTGTATCAAATAATATTTAGGAATTCATTTGGTTACAGTGCAGTTATCACCATTGACTGTAATTCTAATCATATCCCAACAATATTTAGTGAGATGGAGGGTGTTGCATTGAGATACTGGAACAAAAGCAAAGGAGGTATTGTGGAACATGTAGTTGATGTCAAGTTGGCAGAAGACCGGTCTGCAAAAGGTCTTCTGGACATTGCTACAACAACTCTGGAGGATAAGCATGGAATATCAATGGATGGACTAGTTTCCAATACCTTTGATGGAGCTAGTGTCATGTCGGGGACAAAAGGTGAGAAAAAATGCAGGCTCATGCGGCATATATCATAAAGTTTGGTGTTAATGAGATATTGAAAATTGAAATGTATAGATAAGGAGGTTATTCATTTTATTGCACTTATATTTTTATCAGGTGGTTTGCAACAGTTAATTCAAGAACATTGTGGGCGTAATATTCCATATATCCATTGTCTGAACCATCGGCTTGCTTTAGTGATAAAAAGCACTTTGTCAAACATTCTAGAGATGGATGATTTCTTTCAACTGAATCAAGATTTATACATTTTCTTCAGAATCTCTCAGATTCATAAGCTCTATGAAGGCGATTCTTTGAAAAAGTTGATAACTACAAGGTGGGATGGACATTTATCAAGCCTGAAAGTTATTTCAAAATGCATTGATGATGTACATGCCACACTAGAAAAATGTTCAGTTTCAAAGTCAGTAGATTCAGAATATCGTTCCAAAGCTAAGGGTTATTTGTCAGCCTTAAAGCAACCTGTTAACATCTTTCTCATACCATTCATGATGGATGTTTTATCTCTTCTTGACATCCTCAACAAGACTTTCCAGAAGCCTGATTGTGACTTACAAACATCACTTATCATACTGAAATCCATTAGAGAAAAGCTAAATAGTCTGCGTCATGAGTACACCATAGACAAAATTGCAAATGTCATATATCCTGAGTGCGCTGCTATGACAGAGATTGAACCTGGTGTTGCTAGTAAGAGAAAAAGAACCACTCCAGAAAGGCTTCAGGACTCGGTAATTACAGATAAGTTACCAATATTTCGGGATATGAACAACAACGTGGAAGGCTTACGTGCATTGGCAGTCGAGGTACTTGACAATCTAGAAGCTGAATTCAAGAACCGTTTCAGTGAGTTCAACACAGATCTGTTTGGTTGTCCTTCACAATCCTGGAACCATCAAATGCCCAGTTTCTTGATGCTAATGAACTTAGGCCTCTTCTGGACTTTATCAAAACCATTCCAGTAATTAGTCAGAAAGTTGAAGATTTCTCCTTTCATAAACTGAAAAGTGAATGTGATGTGTTTCGCAGTGTTATACAGCATTTTAATGCCAGTCAAGATAGTTTGGCTGAGCTTGAATTCCAGAAGAAAAAAGTTGAAAATGAAGCAAAAGGCAAGAAGACTAAACAGGAAAATGTGAACAGAATGACACGGACGACAACATTTGTATCAACATTGCATGGTGCTGAAATTTTGCAGCAAATGTATTTGGTTGCTGTAACTGCTGGGTATTCCAGCTCTGTGGTAGAATGTGTTTTTTCTGCCCTGAATAGGGTTGATACATGTCATCGAAGGCGAATGACACCATACAGAAAGTCAGGACTGACATTATTGCATTTTGAGAATGCCATCACTAGAGCAATTTCATTTGAACAGTTCTTGATGAAGTGGAACTCTAAACCTAGACGATTAGCTGTGCCTGTGTAAATAGCAGGTGTTCAATTGACAGTTAATGAGTTAAAGTTCTAAGTAATTTTCATGCTCAAATGTATATATATATATATATATATATATATATATATATATATATATATATATATATATATATATATTCTCCTTAATCTTATATCAGAGCGGAAAGTTGTTAAATCACATTTGTCCAACCATTATATCATTAATATTATACACAGAAGTGCACAAAATGTGCTTTGTATCTTTAGTGGCTTGGCCCCTCCTAGGTTTTCTATGGCCCCCCTTGACCAAAAATCCTAGCTACGCCTCTGAATATTCTGCTTTATAGTTGGCACATCATATGTATGTAGTTTCATATTTCATTGTTGGCGTCTTTTCACATTTGCATTCTACCCGTTGAAGGCTATATAGACTGATATTGATAGCCGAAAGCTGGTAATAAATTAATATTTCAACCATGGAGAGAACGTTAACAATATCTTGAACAAAATTTATTGGTATATTACACGTCAATTCATCAACTATCCGAATAGCGGTTTTTATCTATTCGTTGGGAGAACACGACCAAAATATATTTTTAGATTTTGCGAATTGCAGAAATATAACCAAGGTAAAAAATTCGATTGCTAGAGAACGTTTCTAAACTGCTGAGGCCGGTTGTTCGAAAGGCGTTTAGCTTAACCGGTAGATAAGTTAAAGCTGGAAAGCAAAATTATCTATTTATTGAACAACTGAGTTGAAATATTTCGATGTAAATAGTTTAATTTTCAGATAAACGCCTTTGGGACAACCGGCCTCTGCTGCCTCTGTCGATCGAGAGAGGTCGGCAAATATTGGTCGAATCCCGACAAAGCATGTGCTTGTTTGGTTTCACAAAGACTTTTTTTTAAACTTCAAAATATCTTACGCTTCGTTGAATCCCGGGTAACCGGGCTCATGTAATCACACCATCAGTTTAAGTTGTTCATCTCTGTTCCCATAACTTTTTCATTGGGCAGATCATATTAAACTGGTCATGCTATCATACTTTTGATGGTTAAACTCCCTCTGACATGGCTAGTTTTTATGTCATGATGTCACCTACACATGTTCCTAGTCTGCATTCCGGGGGGAATTTGGGATATTCTGTCATTGCTGTCGTAAAGACTGACAAGAACCGCACTCAGACTAGAACCAGGCAGTGCCAGTGGCGTGTAAACTACAGGGTGTCCCAAAAAAAACGAAAAGTATTGAAATCACCCATAACAATGCAATTGTTAGAGTTTGAATGCCTAAGCACTCTGTTGGGACCCACAGGTGTATAAATGTTTACCATACTCATTTTTATGCATGCATATGATGCAGTAAAATTTGCTTGTTCGCAAAAATGATATTTATTAACAATATTTACAATTTACAAATATGGATAACATTATTTAAATGTGCATCTCAAGGACCTTGACCTTCGACATGTCCCCTTTCTCTAGCAACACAAAGCATTTAGCATTTTAAAAGTTGCATTAAATCCCCACGGGCTGAAATTCGTGAACACGGCACTCAAATTTTAACAATGAATGACAAATAATTATATAGTGGGGATATTCATATAAACAAGACGCCTGTTCTGGCGTTAACTCCGGCGCACGTGCCAGTCTTCAATATAGAGCTTCTGAACATAAACAATACAGTTCATATTCGCATTTAGATGCCTTGCGAACCTAAATGTTCGATCGCGAAATTCAGAAGCACATCGTACTTTAAAAAGTATAGAAGTTAAATCGTTCAAGAATGTAAATAAACGGTATGATACATTCGCTTTGTCTTACACTTTGCATTTGGAATTCGCGCTTATATAGTTATAGCGCCCATACACGACCACATCATCTTGTTAAACGGCGAAATAGCAGCGATATTACTAAAATAGGACCAGAATCTACACGTATTAAATATATTCTTACCCCAATTCAGTCTAAACTTAATCGAAAAGCATGAAAAGAACGGTTTATTTGTTCCTCTTGGAGGAATTGCCGTATCATGCGAGCGAAATCGAATCGCGCATCGGGAAATTAGCCAAAACCACAACTCTTGAGACAAGACTGGACATAGATAAATCCAATCACATACACATTTTAAATACTAGTTTCGCGCCATTACAGACTTGCGACGACGAAATAAAAAAAAAAAATAAAAAAAAAAAAAAAAAAAAAAACAAAATAAAAAAACACAAAACAAAACAAAAAAAACAAAACCGAGGCGAATTTTCAACTCCGTCGCTGACGCCGGAGTAATTATTCAGTTCTGCCCGACGGATTTGGGATTTCTTTTATAAGCGCAATACCTATGAATCGTCGGGGCCGTATGGGGAATAGCCCAGTAATATATATTAGATTAGAACCACAACAGTAACTTCTTCTTTCTTATAGAAATGTATTAAAACTGTGTCTCCGGCTCGTGCTGTTGCCACACTGACTTCAACTAATGACTAATCTCTTATCACCGTTTCCGAGTGTCAAGTGTCCAATAATTAAGCAATGTTCATATTGTTTCAAAATGTTTCCTTGTTTAGCTGTGAAACGCCCGTGCATAATTGTTTGTATATAACATGTTTGATTTCTAAATAAAGATTATGGACAACATTTCTAGTCTGAACGGTAAATTTGATTGTTCTGTACCGGAACTTCAATTTTTATGACTAGAATATCTATTTACATTTTGAATCTTATCGTAGTCAAAGGTAGGCAGACTGTGCTCGACCTTTTTTTTCAACGACAATGCGGCTTTTCTGATACTCGGCAGGTAATATAAACGATCTTCTATTAGTTGTATATGTAGTCCCACGCCGAAGTTCGTGTTAATAAGAAGACCGGTAAATTATATGCATAATTGAGATGAGATATTCAGTGTCGTATTCTCGCCTGTCAGCCTTTCTTCAGTGAAGCACTCCTAATCAAACATAACAAACCTTTCTATTACATCTACGCTTTCTGTCTTTCTTTTTCTTTAATCAATACTCTAACTAACATGGCTGTAAATATAGCATATATATTTTATTACTAACATTATCTAGTTTTTCCTTGCTTAGATTAACACACCTTCTGCCCACACTGGATTAACAGGCGCGCTTCCTCTCTGTGTTGCATATAGCATTGTAAAGTATTGCATTTCATTCTGTCTGAAGATGACTTTGAAATAAAGTCGAAAATTTCAGGCAGCTGCGTAATGTGTTGCGCTCATCGATTATCTTCTGCCGCAGCTCCTCGATATTCGCAGGTGGTCTGGAAAACACTTTATCCTTCAGATAACCCCACATAAAAAAATCGCAGAGTTTAAGGTGAGTTAGGGGGCCACGTACTCCACATTATGACCCAAACCTACGACACGATTCGCACCAAACGTTTCGTTTAGACGATCGATATCTGACCTCCAAAAGGCGATGTGCAGGAGCGCCGTCTTGCGCCCACCACAGGCCCCGAAACGTTCCCTCCCAATACTGGTTGTTGAAATGGTTTGCCAGTTGTGGAACGGCAAAGTCATTCAGCATACAAAGATAGGCGCAGCCGTCTACATTTGCATAAAAAAATAGGTCCCAATTAAATTAAACCCTCACCGCAAACTCCTGCTCAGTTCACTCGATCTGTCAAAGTTAAACGCCAAAAGGATTTCCTTTCGGTGCATACTCACGTACATTATGCGTGTTTACTTGCCCGTTCATTTCAAATCCCGCTTCGTCTCCAAAAAAGAATCGCTGCAAAAAGTTTTCGTTTTGGCTGCACTCCGAACAGCGCAGGCGACGTGGCCAGTCGTTTTCCGTCAGCTCGTGTCGTACATGCATGCGGTAAGGATGCCAGCGCAAGTCCAGTCTTGTTATCCTGTTGAATGTTGTTTGCGAAACTGCGATGGGATTCTGACGATAACTCACATGTGGGTTTTGCTCTAGCAGCTCTGTTACTCCGTCAATATTTTCCTCACTTCTTTCTCTTCTACTTCTGCCTGAATTGCCCTCGTTTCTTTAAGGCTTGTTCCCGTGTTTTGATATTTTCTCACGTTATCCAAAATTGTGTTTCGTGCAGGAGGATTCCTTTCGGCAACTCTTATTCTGAATGCGTTTTGCACTTCTCTTACATTTTGTGTCAGGATAACATTTGTTACAACAAATACTCGTTATTCTGTTGTTAGTTGCACCATTTTGTATTTGATGAAGTGACATGACTGATTAAAAAAACTCGTAGAGTTTCAGGCAAATTTCTACAGTTTTATTAATTCTCGATTAGAATGCATTTTAACTCCCAAAGGAAACAAACTTTATGTTTTAGGTTAATTAATAGTTCCACTTATTTAGATATGCTTCATGTACCCATGAGATATTTTAGGCAACTTCTATCACAAATTTGAATTTCAAAGGTCAAAGGTGTCAGTTTTTTTACTCACCCTGTATTGGAGTAATGTGAAACCTTCAAATACCAACTGGGCAAACTACAGTCGCATGGACACCAAGGTCACATCATTCCACCAATCAGCACGTTTCAAGAGTTGCTGACGAGAGACTTTTTTGGTATTAAAAGTATAGCATTTCAACTTATCATCATTCGTAGGTGCAAAGGTTGTACTGGTCAGAATTTAGACCAGACACCAAAATATGGCTTCGTTTTGGCTTACAACTGGTCTATTGTTGATTCTTTTAACCACCCTAACTACGGCTGATGTTCAGAAAACGTTTGTTGTAAGTATAGCTTGCGAGATTGTGATGTTGTCTGTATAAATATAACGATATTCGCTTCAGAATTAAAAAGGTGAAATGCGCAACCAAGTAATATTGCCCTGAATGATATGATCATGGAGTTATCAACTGCATGCAATGACTTGCATGATAATATATTTGCAACCGATATATATAAATATATATCTGGTATAACGTTATATCTCGTTAAATCTGGTATAACGTGTACATAAATCGAAAAAAGTGTATTAACGTGTAGATAAATCGGTCCAGCAAAGCTTGCAAAATAGCTAAATAATTCTTTTATATAGTCCTGACAAAAAAGCGGTGATGCCAGCCTCTGACAGGAACTGCAACAGGTACATATATTTCTTTTTAATGCATGAAGAACTATATACATGCATTGGCCGCGTAGCCAGGTTAAGAGCGCCATCACTCAACTGCAGTTTATATACAGGGTGAGTAAAAAAAAACTAACACCTTTGAAATTCAAATTAGCTGCAATGTGTCTGTAATCGGCTGTAATGTGACAGAAGTTGCCTAAAATATCTCGTGGGTATACGAAGCATATCAAAAAAGTGAACCCATCTAAGCTCTGTAATAAAAACGAACGTTGAATTAGTTCAATTGGTTTAAAGACTTTCGAATTAATTAACCACGTCTTGTTGATTGTACACAATGGGAATTGTCAAATTCCAGCCATAAGTTCCCCTCCTAATTTGAATTTCAAAGGTGTCAGTTTTTTTTACTCACCCTGTATATTGAAAAGCCCACTTCAATTGACCGTGCTCACTGAGTGTGGCACAGAAATCACGTGCTCTCTGATCCATAAGGGAGTCAAGTCCAGCTCAATCGAACGACTCGGTGTAAAACAATGAAAGTTTATATTCTCTCAGTCGAGAGGATATACAGTATCTGCGGTTGTCACGGGGTTCCAATTCAGTCTTGTCAAACGTTAAATGTGGGTTCGTGCGTGTAAAGGCAAATAGTATTGGCGACAAAGGCATAACTGAGAGGCAAATGTGCTGTAAATTTTTGTCTAATTTCTGGTCTAAAGCAGTAAACAATGCATGCATGCAACAACACCATTACACTAACATGCACGAATCACGCCACGGTGGCATACACACAGAAGTAGAAATCAATAATTCCTTTGTAGTTGAATATGTTTGTTTACCATGCCGATTTTTAGTCCTGTTTTGCTAATTAGGAATAAGAAATGTAGGGGACTTGAAAAACACAACGATTTGTATTCAACTGCCGAAAACAAATTTTAATTGCCCACGGGTTTATAGCTCACAAGATCGCTAGATATTAAGGCTATAGATAGTACATAGACGTCCGAGACTATTCCATCAGGTGATTTAGAAAAATGCTTTACATGTTGACTTATTTAGGCTGGAGCAGTGGTCAAAGATGACGCTGAGAAAACGTATCCTTTTCATTAAAAGTCTTTGCTATAAATCTATTCATTATTTCATTAAATTGTATTCACGAAACATAATACGAAACTGTTAATATTAGGGGTAACTCAATAGGGGTCAGTGGTTGACATTGATTGAACTTTGCGCAAATTCGAAAGCCTGACTATATAGCAAAGGTCTGTTCACCGAAATATTTTGTCGGATCTAATTCACTTCTAACGTATGAACGTATGGAATGTGGTCTGTCATTGATAAAGCAGTATGTAGTCAGACAGAACCTCGAGCAGAACGAATATCATGCATACTCTATATTCTGCTCCAATCTTAGTTTTTGCGCTGCCTTTGTCATTTTAACTTCGGTCGGAGGACAACTTTGATGCAATGGACTATTGAACTAAATGCTGAGGTAGAAATATTTGTCGGTTCTAAGATATACAGCTGGAAAGAGCATCCCAAAATTCGTAACATCTAGTCAAAAGCGCACTACACATCGCACCGGGGGAGAGTTACATCATATCAATGAGTAGGCTACTTGATTCGGATTGCGTAAATTTAGCATGTTTCAAACCTCATTTAGATTTATGATCACATGCATGTAAGATCACAGTATGTATAAGCCGTCAATAATTTTGAGATAGGATTACTCTTTGATTTAGTGATAAGAAAATATATCCCCAGGCGGTCTATATAGTTAATTAAGCGTATACATGTAGCTTTGAAGCAGTTTAAAAATTTAAAGTAATACATACAGCAACAATATAAAACCCGTTTTTATCCATGCAGGAATGAGTATGGAGTGTGTAGGTATAGGACGGAAGTCAAATTTCCAATGCAGCAAAAATCCGGCGATTCCCCATTTGCAACCATGGCAACGGTGGCGATTGCCACATTCGTACAAACGACCATTAGCAATTTGAAATTTTGAACTTTGGCAGCATAAAATCTGACAGTTGCATGTATAAGAAAGAATTTTTAATTTACTTGACCTGTAGTATATAATTACTGAATAATTTGAACAAGCTATGATCAAGTTTGCTTTAAGTTTACTGCGGCAAATTTAGCGCAAATCTAAGTTTTCATAAGCTCAATAAATCTGAGACCATGCATATCCCTCTATCAGCCTATAAAAAAATCTTTAACAATCTTGTTAAGTTCCGAGCTAAAGGTAAAATGGAAAAGAGATGCAGAGGTGAGTATATAGAGAGATTTATGATTATATTTCTATTAAAGAAATCAAAACTGAATATACCAGCTTTTTAAAGAAATATATAATAACAATTGAAATCTCCATAACAGTCGACTAGTCCCGGGCTTTTAGCTTAAACGATAATAAGTTAAAATTTTACAATACTTTTATACACCTTGTGATAACTCAATCAACCTCTTATGCAATAAATTAATTTCAGCTCGGTTGTTAAATAAATAGATTATTTTGAACCCATGCATTCACCCGTTTCAGCTAAACGCCGTTTGCACAACTGGCGCGCGCCATGTACTCAACGCTGTGACGTGCTCAGACTACAACTATTTAGTTTTTTAGAGTCAGTGTACCTGAAAAGCGCTGCTAATTAATGGATATGTGCTAACGAAAAATTTAATTTGGGATAAAAACGTAAAAAAATAATTGCTTTTCGTGGTGCGACCGTCGACCATATCGCCACGTTATCGACCGTGTTAATGTGCTCCAGTTCACATATTGAGTTCATTAAGTTATAGCCGTCGCGTGCATAGTGGTGCAGTATTGTTGTCAAGAAGAAAATCCTGCCGTCCGCTGTCCTAAACGGTCGACGCTCAATCGTTAATATACCTGTTATATAATTCCCGTTAATATAGTATCAAATTTGCTTTTATATATAGAGGCGAGATGATATTATTGAACGGTTCGTTGCGATGAGAAAAAAGAGTTAAGAAAAACCGCGGTGAAGAGTGCAGAAGACATCGGACATGGGGAATATTTTTAAAATAATATCGTGATAAATTAATTTGCATATGCATGATTACTTAAAAGATCAGCAATACAAGAGATAAGGCCATTGATTTAAAAAAATTGGTGAAAATGTTAGATTGCGCATTCTTCTTGTTTAATCATCACACGAGTGAACTTTGAACTTTTTTCATCGAAATTGCTTAAAATGATTTTTTTCTAGGAGTTTCCTTAATTAAAGTACAAGTATAGCGTAACAATTTTTTGCACTAAAACACCAGGTTGCCTTATCTCTTATAATGTTTTAAACTAAAGTTATTTTGATCGAAGGGTATTTTCTTGGGTATAAATTTTGATAGATTCAGCATTTTAATGACATTGTTCTTAGTGATTATGACAGCATTTGGTCAAAACTTTGTGAAACCATTTGCTGGAAGCTCTGTTCACACAAAGACATTTGAAATAAAATGAATATGATTTGCATTAATCACTGTTTCTCGACTAGCAAAAGTGTCCACAATACATTCAGTCATTCACCCTTTCCTTAGTCGATGAGATTGACTTATACCAACGAGATAATGCGCCCTATCCATCGATATTATAATAAATCTGAATTGAATTTGCATTTCTATTCATAGGTTGTCAACCTGTAGACAGGCTCAAATTCGAAAGAAAATATATGATATTGCATAAACCTATTCCAAAGAGAGCGAGTTACGCGAAAACGAGGCAATTAAAATTTTAAAATTATCTGTATATTTCAAAATTTTGACCGGAATAACTTCGCTCTTGTGCATGTAGCTTGTAACAGGTCCAGCATGAAAGTGTGAGAATAAACACAAATAACTTTAAAATGCAGCAAAGAAAATCTGGCAAGCCTCGTTTTCTCGTAACTCGAAACAGACCTCTTGCTCTTTTTCGAATAGGTCTATGCAATTGAATTAAATTAGTAACAGTCGATACAGATTTTACCGGATTTTCATAAACTTTTGATTAACTCTTTAACAAAGTCGGCTCTCGTATTGCTTAATTTAAATTCATCGCCTTGCACGGAACCTCCTCTCTCTGCTTTCCTAAATTTTTGAGCTTTTAAACCATGCAATTTACCGATGGTAGAGTTTATCTGTTCTATAATCCGTTAAATTATCTGTTTATTTATAAAAAAGAAGAATTTCGAAGAATTAAGCCACTTAATTGAAACTCGATATTTGAATTGAAACAAAAAAGGCTTTGTGGCCATGTGTCAAATTTCAGCTGTATTTGAAATACCGCATCTAGACAAATGCATTCGCCCATCATGTGAACATTTTGTCATATTTAACATTTTCTCTACCGCTTTCTTTCCTCACGTAATGTATATATTCACTGGCTCACTTTTGCGTATTTATGCTGTTGTGTGATATTATTCTGCCAGTCGTGACCTCAATAAGAATTCTTGAAAAACAAAGACATTTAGTAATAAGGGCCTTAAGGGGCGATACTATTTCAAGGAGCGTCATATTCTAAAGTAGTACTCCGCAAATTGCACAAGCTGTAAGTATAACATCAAGCACCAAAGCATGGCTTCGTTTCGCCTGAACGCAGTTTTATTGTTGTTAATCTTCACCTATCTTACTTTGACAGATGCCAATACTAATGTAAGTGACAATTATATGCTTTCTCTGAACAAAGATTATTTGATAAATCCGGAAAGGTCGTTTGACGCGATGATACATTAAAAATTGGATGATACAAAATATCCAACTCTTCGCTTGTTGTTATATGTTATTTGAAGCCAACGGCTATATTTTTAAGGCTGGTTTTCTATAGACGGCTAATTTTTACCAAATGGCCGCAGAATAAAACCGATTATTGTATTGATTTTAATTGCGCAGACATGTACAGCCATGCGCCAGCGCATACTCATAAATAATTGTCGAAATGGCTATATATCACAGCTGCTTTCTACTGCCGCGTTTTTTGACATGCGTATGCGCACGTAAAAGTTTAAAATAATCTAAATCACGGATACTTACGACATGAACAGTTGGATGGATACATTGGGTTGGCAATTCTGTCCTTAACTATAAAGTTAAAAGTTAACTAGTCTTTTACAACTGGGCCCTCAATACATCGTATCGTATATATTCTCTTTCCTCGATTATATATACTAATTCATTTCTTATTATATATATTTCTGTGTTCTTGTAGTTTCTGTATTTATACTTGTTTGTTTTTATTTTTTCGGCCCATTTCGTCTGCTTGATCCAAGACGGTTTACCTGAGAATGTATATTTCCGGACTGCAACACGACAGGTTCCGTCTTTAAAATGACTAGGCCTAGGAAACTAAACCATATGATAGTCGATGTCGATTTTTCTTATATGTAGTGAAAAGGCCTGAAAGGTGGCTCTCTGCAAAGCCCGTGCCGCACACGATTGAACAAACGGCAGGTATTTATGAAAAAATTTGTCCGAACTCGTCACGAGTTAATAACCTAGTCAGTATTTTAAATAATTATTTATCTTCGTTCGCTTATCAGACATGCCCGGGTAAAAATGAGGCAAAGAAATGCCAATAAATTATAAAGATAATTGCAAAAAACTCACTTAAAATTTGAGAGAGCGTTGTCAGCACGTGTGATGTGGAAAAAACTGGGGCGAGTACAATTTTGAAGAGCATTTGAAAAAAATTTGTTGTTTAGTTCGTTTTTGAGTCTCTGTGTGCAGTTTATGCAAATATATTCGCTATAGAGTCCGTGTGCCGTTTATGAAAATTGTACCAGAAAATTAACAGTCAATAATTTCTCCGTCATCTCAGATCAGCTATACCGTTTAAACTCGCTAGGTTGTTGTTATTGTCTGCGAGATAAGTGATAACAGCTGACAACCATGATTCAATAAAACGCTTTAATTGCTTTTTTAACTTTTTTAGGCAAGAGAAGTTTTCAACGATGTTGTTGATGAATCGCGGTATCCTTTATGAAATCCGATAATTAAATTATACAGATCAGACGGATTAACTAATATTGCGCCAGTCAACAACTAATTATGTCAACGGACCACTTGCATAATGGGCCAACTTATGATCTTACCATACTTTTTTTATTACGAGCGAAAGCGTGTAACTAATTCATTTAGTTACACACTTCCAGGCATATTACAGAAGTATACAAAATTTACCATCTTCGGTACTTAACAATATGTTGCTGCCAAACTTGGCAGTTTTACTAAGTCTTGAGTATAAATAGTATGCTCTTTTCGGAAATTCCCTTTTTGTCACCTAAATCAAAAGTTGGTCTATTATGCTAGTGGGCCATTGATATGCCTTTGGTACCGTCACAGGGCAAAACGTATTTGTGACGTAATAATGATCTTCGAAAAGTGTATTACAAATGGCAAGTGTATCAAATTAATGGCATAAGTTGATTCACAGAAATCATCGTTGAACTGAGCTAAAACACAAAGCATACATATAATTTGATTTTTAAATAAGTCTTCTGCCACCGTTTTGGCAAACGGTATATTAACAAAATATAAACAGTCTACAGTCTGTCTTTTATCCGGAATCAAGTGACTTATTTACCTGGTGCGAATAAATTCATTTGGAACACCGGGCACAACATTGAAAAGGGGTCGCGGGGGAGCTGGGTTTGTGTTATAAATCAGTTATTTGGTTACCTGTCCCAACTCTTTTGAAAATTATTTTATTTCGTTGTAAATCGATAAAAAGTCTTTGACAATTTTGTCCAGTCAAGAACTAAAGGTTGAAAGAAAGAGAGACGTAGGGGTGAGTAGGATTATGTTTCCCCGACTTTTTTTTGTTTCCTTATATGTTGCAAGTAATTTAGGTTGATTGTGTGAACATTGCAAGAGATTGGTCAGCTTTTCTGAACATTTATCGTATTATGTGGAGGGAAAATGAGAAAAGATGATTGGTCCACGTGAAACTCGCATGTTCTCAAACTTGCGGATTAGGTAAAAATGTTATTTAAAGTAAAACCCTCTTATCATGGTCGTCGAGAAGCTGATGAACATCCTCGAGATACCTCTCTTCCAATCAACATTTAGTAGTTGGTGTAATGATGACCGATCATATAGTCCGAACATCCTCTGAAATCAGCGGGGATACGACAACCCGCAATTCCAGTGGCGTTAGGGAGACGATAATTGGGGGGGGGGCACATATTCATATATTCGTGTTAACAGACACATAAAGACCATGAATTTTTAAAAGAAAATAATCTTGAATATGTGCGCCCACCAACCACCCTCCCTCCCATTAATCATCTACCGTACGCCACTGCGCAGTTCAATGGGCACAACCGAATGTATGAATGTACACTCCCATGCAATTGTCGCGCTAATCACCTCCCCAGGATGCAAACATAACGCCCCTTTACAAATTCTAGATTCGTTTTTTCAAAAAATTATAGTATTAATGTACTTGTCTAGAGTCAAGATGAAATTATTGAACGGTTCTTTGCAATGAAGAAATAGAAGCCACTTCAATAAGAGACTGTAGAAATAAAATAATTTTAAAGAAAATCGTAGAAGCGTATATGATCACCGAATTAAAACTCTCAAAATTTTCGAGAGATAATGCAATTGATTTACACAAATTAGATCGTGATGTTAGATCGCGCTTTTCAATGTTATCTGAATGTTCATACCTACATAAGAGTAATGTCATCAATTAAGCAGTTGTAAGTAGCAATTGCAATTTAGCTTTTCAGGGCAAAAGCTTAGCTTTTTTGCCTTGTCTCTTCAAATGTGAAAAATCTCAACATTTTTCCGCAAGCTTTCATCAGTTTCCTCATTTATAATATAAAAAGCGAAGCATATTTCTGGACAGGAAACGAAATTGCCTTGTCTCATGAAATGTTTCCGACTCTAAAGTTATCGTAATTATACTGTAGGCATATAATCCTGATATGTTAAGCATTTTAATGACATGTGTTTTTAGTGATTATGACAGCATTTGGTCAAATCTTTGTGCAACCATTTGCTGGAAGGTTTTGTTCACACAAAGACATTTGAAAATAAAATGATTTAATTCGCAGCAATCATTGTTTCCTGATTTCGTGAAGAGGGCCCCAGTTGCCACAGTACAACCAGAGCCATACCAAAGGAGTAGTTAGGTGGTTTCATCTCATTGTTTCGAAAATAATTTATATTCGGATATAGTTGGTTTTTTAAAATCTTTCATTCTTGAAGGGGCCCTAAAGACTTTGGGTTTCAAGTTGAAGTTACTGGAGACTTCAACCCAACAAACATACAAAATCCGTCCTCCAAAGAATAGTAATCATAAGAAAGCTTTATAGTAGGATTAAGATAAAATTAATGTTGAATAGATAATGTCAAAAGTCACAGGCAGCCTTCGTTTCTTCTCTGCTTTCTTCTCCTCTTAAAGATCGATTCTCGAACTACCAGGGTCGTTAAAATAAGTTTTCAAAAGATACACTGATTTTCATTTAATTATTTAGTTTTAGACCAATCCGCAAATTTTTTTACATTTGTTTACAAAACGCATAAATTTTGACTACTTCTGTTAAAAGGGTGCATTATTTACCATTTTACATGAAGCATTAAAAATTTAGGCACTCTGATTGGCGTAGCCTGAAAAATGTGAACAAATACGCCGACTGGTTCAAAACGAAATGCCACCTTGTTGTGAAACAACACAAGTTAAAGATTATGTCAAGTCGTGAACAAACTGTTTACATTTTAACTTTTTCAAATTTTAAACTTTCTTAAGCTGTATATTTGTATCTAAAATCATGGTTAAAACCAGTCATGCATGAGCATTACTGGTTTTAACCATGATTTTAGTGTGATTTTTATGAACTTAGTATGATTTTTCACTAAAATTTTAACCGAATCTTAGCCGAAACATGCGAAATTAGGCAATATTCAACTTTGCGGGCTTTGCGTTGTTATGAGAAGAACCGAAGCGCAATGAAGTCACTTTTTTTTTGAGATTTCGAGATTTTAATTGCTAATTACAGGCAGGATTGACGCAAGTTTTTCCATAAGTTACCCGAAAATGTGTTTTTTCATGGCATAATAATCCACAATTAGCATTTTGATCCGTTATAGTTTGCATTACATGAAATAGCGCACGCACTAATAATTAAAAAATGTCAATGATCTCTTATTTTTATTATGAGTGCGTGCGCTACTTCATGTAATGCAATTTATAACGGATCAAAATGCTAATTGTGGATTAATGCCACGAAAAAACACATTTTCGGGTAACCTATGGTTTTTCCTGCGGTGTTGGACATTATTCATTGACCTATTGAACTTTTTTGACGCAATTTTTGCAAGTTTAGGCATCTTGCGCGGCTGTTTATTCCCCTACCACAGTGTCAAAATTAGTTTTACTTTAGCTTATGGTTTCCTTTTGTCCTCAGAGAAGTGCTTTTGCTTATGCCTGAAAGAAACTAATAAAAGATTTTGTGAGCGAATCTTTACATAAACACAGTACATTTTTTAAATAATTCCACATTATTTTGTTTCATACGTAAACGATCACATTAAGTAACATGATACTAACGTACACTATCCTCCTGATATATGCTAGCTGTTTTTCAAAAAAAAATACCTCAATACTGTATTTTCATACACGTAATCTGTTGTGCTTGGCTGCTGTCTCGCCATGTGATGACTGATGACGTAGGCTGTTGCTTATACGATATATATTTCAAGAGATCATTGTTCAACATTAGTACACTATAGTGACTATACGTTGCACAAGCTGTGATTTTGGAACAAATTACCAGAATATGGTGTCGTTTTGCGTGAAGACAGTTTTACTTTTGATGTTCTTTACCTACTTAACTTCTACAAATGCACTAAGCGTAAGTGACACATCATGTTTTCTCAGAAGATTTTGCAGAATCTAGAAACGTCGTGGCAAGACGATGTCGGCCACGACGTGGAATGTTCCAAATTTTCGCTTGTTTAGATATAGCTTTCAAACTCTGTAAAGGATCGATAGTACATTTTCAAGCCGAGTTTCTCAAACTGGCTAAATTTCACTAGCTAAATAGCGACAGTAGTTAATTAAAATGGTTTTCAAACATTCCGCGCATGCACATTCAAATTTGATAATAGGATTTTCAAGACGACCATGCACTTTAATAAATAGCGTTTCGCGTTGTAACGTATAGGTATATAAGGTACATTTATGAAGTCTAAAAATTGTTGTGTGTAGTCAAATGATACGTGACTGCCTTGTTAAATCTCGTCTATGTTAAAACGGGGACGCTCACTTAGAAACATGAATTATTTCACTGAACGGAGGTCATTGCCAACGTTAGCCAGGTTATCTGTTTAAAATAGAAACTTTACCGTACGATAGTTGATGTCGATTTTTCTTTATAGTGAGGACAAAATGCGTGACTCGCAAGATTAAAGAAACCGCAGGTATGAACTATTTTCTCATATATGTACAGTACTGTGCAGAAATAACCTAACACTGCGGTCGCGTTGTTTTGAAAATGTTCATCAGCTTTAAATAACTTTTAATGGCAGTTTCCATTGCACGACGCAAATAGTTTTTCCATCGCGCTGTTGCATTAAAATCACCACATTCAATCATGCACTCGTTCATACGCATTTGATCACTAATCCGTGAATAATATAGGATGAGATGTTTACGAAATCACTGAATAACATATATATTTTGAAGTTTTTTGGTGTTATATGAAACAAATAATCAGTAATGTTTTCACTCATGCAATAAGAATATTTGCAAAAATATTTACCTCCTAAGAAAGACTATAGAATGTTCCATTCGCAATGAAACATAATACTTTAAAATTTCTGATACACAGATGTTTCAGATGTGCCTATACGTGCATATGCATGTTTAATTGATGTTATTTTGACGCGCACGTAAATGCGAAGCAAAGAATTGCCAATAAAATGATTTGAAATGAAAAATCATTTACAATTTGTGCATCTGACGTCTCGTCTAAAGCATGCAATATTAACGCATGTGTATTAACACATTCTATATTGTCGAAATGACTGTACCACTGCCAGGATCATGTTACATATACTGATTTCAATACCTCAAAGTCATCTCATGCTTCGTTTTTTAGGCCTGTCACAGTCGCATGAGCCGAATTTTAAAGTGACACGAATGTGATGGAAAACAGCGCTGGCCTTTAGAAAAATGCAGTTTAAATGCGCTACCTTAGTTTAGCTAATTTAACCATGATAAAAAAATTTTATTATACCCACTTGTCTAGGTCAGAGCAGTTTCTGGTGTTGACGGATTGTATCCTTTATGAAAGTCAATGAATTAAACCCTATATAAAGACGTCCTATAATATGACGTATTAGTGACGTACCGGTATTATCATTTATTCTCAGTTTAATTACCAGGAATTGAAAAAATTAATATAAATTTTGAAAGAAAAAGTTACTTATTACAAAAGGAAAAGCAGATAAACCACCTGATGTCTAAATGGTATTTTTTATCGCAACAAGTAATTAAAGAAGTATTTGAAAAAATAAACGTAAATATGTTTATGTCCGGCCACAGCATTTATCAGTCTTAGGCTACTCTGGACTAATTACGGAAAATCTTTAACAACCTTGTTCAGCCAAGAAAGAAGAAGGCGAGAAACAGAGGTTAGTAGAAATATTTTACCATTTAATACGTTATCTATACACGCACAGGGTGTTTTAAAGAGAGTGCTTATAACCCTGCGAGCTGTTGGGAGTAATTTAGCCTGTAATTGCGCCAGTATTGAGAATTTTTAGATGGATTTGCCATTTTGAACAATTTTAGTTTTATTACATGGGAAAAAAACGGGCACGGATGATGGAGACATTCCCACTATATATATTTGCGTTTATATGAACTATTAAAAATAAACCCTTTTTATCAGTGTCGTCAGTATGTTTTCTTCGGTCCAACATTTTATTTAAGCACCAATCGTATCATAATTGATGATGACGTATCGCAAAAGTACTCCCCCAACATGTGCCTTTTATTCAACCGATTACTATAACTTGAAACTTCTATCGCAGACTGCGCGGATCCGAAGTACTCCGTAAACCGTAATAATTATAGTATTTAATGTGCTTCTGTAGAGTGAAGATGAAATTATTGAACGGTTGGTTGACGCTGGAATGAATAATTAACAGTTAGCACGTGGATAAAAGACTGTAGAAGAAAAGTAAAATAATATGGGAAGAATAGAAAGAAATTAGAAAGAATATCGTTGCATGTAATAGAGGGTATTTCAGTGAAACAATATTTTCAAAAGATAAGGCAATTGATTTATACAAAATAAAGTCAGATCAATCATGCATATATATATATGACGTTTCATCAAATTTATGATGAAAAATAATCAAAAATAAATTTCTAATGTTATCATACACATCTCGAAATTTCCGCAATGTCAAATTTTTCCCGCAAGCTTTCATCAGTTTTCTACTCTATATCACTATAAATTACGAAGCATTTTTCTGGGCAAGAAACGAAATTGCCTTGTCTCATGAAACGTTTCCGACTCTAGAATTATCGTAATTCTGTAGGCATATAAATTCTGTGGGCATATAATCTTTATACGTTAAGCATTTTAATAACAATGTTCTTAGTGATTATGACAGCGATTTGGTCAAATCTATGTGAAACCATTTGCTGGAAGCTTTGTTCACACTAAAGGCATTTGAATTAAAATTTTAACTGATTTTGATTTCATCGTTGTTGCACAATTTCGTAAGCAGGTCCACAGTACAACCAGGGCCATTTCATAGTGGATTTGTTTTTGAAGAGCGGTCTCCCCCAATTAAGTTCATCCCATGATGCATTGTTAGAAATAGTTGATTTCAAAACACAACCGTGCTTCTTGGGATATGGCTCAAAGGTACCATACATACGCCCAAAGAATCTGCCATACCTTGGGTAAAAAAGTTCATTGCTTTCTTGGCATGAGAAATCCTAAGCATGTAATAATATTCCAGTTGCGATATCAGTAAACACATTACATAGAATTTCTAATGAATTTTATACTAAAGATATATAAGATATTACTCTGAACGCAAATTATAAAAATCTGGCGTGAAATTTCAGTATCAATCTTTGAAACAAAACATGCACACGTTATCTTTAAACAGACGCGAAAATATGTTAGCTATAGTCATTAATTGAAAGCCAATTATACTTAGAGCACTGAAACAGGGGGAACTAGGTTAATTAATTTAATTGATTTTTCTTTAGCAAGGGTGAGTTTATTAGAATATTTTTGGAAAATTCTCATAATAAAAGTACAAACCAAAGAAGTTGAGAAAACCCTCGAAATGCTACGCCGCTACGGCGCTACACGCACAAAAGCCACTCTTTCCCCGACATTTTGAGCCGTAGGAAGCGTCCGAACATCTTTGATGTTTCAAAGCTACAAATACAGGCTTACAGGCAGTGTTGACGCATATGCTGAAGTTGTCTGCGGTGTTGCACGTTATACACTGACCTTTTGAACTTCTTTCACGCAATTTATGCAGGATTCAGGATGTTGCGGCCGTTTATTTCCCATCAGAATGTCAAACTTTATTCCAGTTTACGTCATCGCCTGGGTGAACAGTTCCTATTCTGTCCTCAGATGTGGTCATTTGTTTACGCTTGATAAAAATTAGAGAAGACTTTGCGAGAACTTCATTTAAATGACATACGCAGTGAAACATAATGCTGTAAAATTTCGTATACAAACACAAATGTGCCCATTAACTGAAATTCCTAATTCAGTATTTTTCACATAATTCCACAGTCATTTATTTTATATGTAAGCGATTTTGTCCTTTTATAATTAAATGATGCAAATACTGTATGCTCATATTATATAATCTGTTTTGCTTACTCATCATGTGATGACGTAAGCTGTTGTTTGCAAGGCATTATTATTACGATATATATTTCAAGAGATCACCATTCAACATTAGTACACTATACGTTGCACAACCAAACCAAATATCAAAAATACAAACTATGGCGTCGTTTTGCCTGAAGACAGTTTTACTATTGATGTTCTTCACCTACTTAACTTCTACAGATGCTCAAGTAAGTGACACTTGTATCATGTTTTCTTATTGAAGGTTATTTGCTGAATGTAGAAAGGTCATGTTTGCACAGCGAGACGATATCGCGTTGCCGGCGTTGGGTACGCGTTGATATATTCTAAACTTCCACTGAGTTATATCCCAAGTCCTAACTCAGTATATCGGCTAGATAGTACATTTTTATGCCCGTTTCGCAAGCTGGCTAAATTTTACCAAATAGCTACGATAGTAATCATGATTTTCAAAAATTACGCAAAGTCACAAACAGCGCACATGCATTCACATTCATAGACGACTGGTTTAACTCGATTTTTCTAGATGGTAACAGCTAAAATATTTCGGCTTTGATTTAAATATATTATAAAATGGGCTGTTTATATGTATAATAGAAATAAGAAAGGCAATCTTTGATAGTTTCTAATGGAAATTTAACAACACGATAGTCAATGTTGATTTTTCTTTAATATATAGACTTGACCACCACCTACTAAAGGTGCCCCCGCTGCCTTTTGCGGAGCACAATTGAAAGTGAGTATGTTCTATTTCAATTGCTTTGACTTCAACTATTTGCTTTGACATGTAGCATCGATTTAAAGCGATTGGACTACCTTTTCTCAACTTTTCTGTGACATTGTTAAATTCCTGCTGTTCTAAGATTAAGATTCAGCGGTCGAAATTTTTCTGTCGCGCGACTCACGGAAATTATTTTAAACGGACGTCAATAATTTACGCAATTTAAGAGATTACAAGCCAATATCCCCAATTATTTGCCCAACTGGTCACCCAAGGTAATAGGAAACCAAAACCCTCAAGACTCGACTTGTTTATCAAGAGGTTGTTGTTTATTAGGCTAATTAAGTCTCTTTTCTCTTTATTACTAACTCGTAAGCTCGTTGCGAGGTTTTTATCCATGAACATGCTTTTTTGTTGATTATATTTATCTAGGCCGGTGTAGAACTGAAGGTTGAAAGAAAGAGAGACATAAGGGTGAGTACCGTTCAGTACCATTCATATACCGGTCAGACTGCATGTCTTTGCATCGATCTTATGAATATCGTTGAGATTCTTTACTAAGTTTAGATTATTTTCTAATACGTTTTCACATCACAGTTGCCGAATTTGTGATAATCATTTCTCCTTCATTTTGGTGCATGGGATCGTTAAGTGGGTGGGGGGGGGGGGTAAAATTTGTAGGTAGTGTAGGGGTAAAATTCATATATATTCATATATATTCATATTAGCCCATTACCAGACAGTAAAGACAATAAATTTCAAAAGATAATAATAACGCTGGACGTGAATATATACAGGGGGGTATGGTGAGAAGATTGATCGAGACTCTCACAGCAGTACCACATGCGGGTTCAATTCACTGGAAATTCTTTTCAAAATCTCCATTATGTATGCTAGTTGGAAATGCCATATCCGGAAGTTGATGAAAGGGAGATTTAGCGTGAGGACGTGAACGTCGAAGACGACGTGAGAATGGACAATAAATGGCGTGATGCGTCTATATACGGACATGCCACGCCATTTATTCTCGTCGTCTTTGACGTTGTCACGTCATCTTTGACGTTCACGTCCTCGTGCTAAACCTCCCCAATATCCATACTATAATTGTCATTTTTATACTGTATTGATGTAGTGCGGAAACAGTATGAGTGTAGCATATTTCCATAGGTAATAATGTATTATTGATGTGTGTATTTATTCCTTCTAGAGTGAAGATGAAATTATTGACCGATTGCTGGCAATGAAGAATTAGGAGGAACCTTGGCAGACACTGTTGAAGACAAGTGCAATAATTTAAAAAAAAAGGATGATTAACAGATTAAGTGTATATGATTACCAAAGTATAATTTGCAATATTTTCGGGTGGTAAGGCAATTGATTTAAAATATTTGATCGTGCTTGCTTCGATCCGGTTTCGTCTCACCAAATGACTGTTCAACCGTTCAATGTTGTCTGAATATTCATACTAACCTTCTATATAGTTACCCGACCAGCATTAATCTTTTCAGTCTTATCAAAGAGTCAGTAGCTAAGCAATTTTTCTAAACAAGAAACGAGATTGCCTTTTCTCTTGAAATGTTTCAAATCCGCTATAGAAATAATTTCAATTTTTAGAGAATTTCGTTTTACCATTTTAATGACAGTGTTCTTAGTGATAATGACAGCAATTTGGTCAAATCTTTGTGAAACCATTTGCTGGAAGCTTTGTTCACACAAAGGCATTTAAATTAAAATGAATTTGATTTGCAGTAATTGTTTCCGATTTTGCATGAAAAAGAGAATCACGGTTCGACCAGGGTGCTTCGGAAGGGGTTCGCGTCACTCAAAGGTTTACCGCATGATGCGATGATGAAAAATTTGTTTTTCTTGTCTAGTCTAGGACCTGTAAAGGAGTTTGTATGCATTTCATTTAGGACAGATTATCTCAACTGTTTTAGGGTAAAATGACCATGGCGGTCAACATGGCATATGTGCCAAAATGTGAATCCGGGACGAAAGTCCTCAAAATGACCACACCCAGAAACGGCATAGTCGACATAGCTCTAAATCCTGAATTACCAAAGCTACAGTCTTTCTGAATTGTTTATATGGTTCAGAATGGTTGCTTTTAGGGGTGGTCACTGGAGAGTGAAATTAGCCTAAGTTTCATATTTTACAAGAAAATGAATGTTTACTATTCTAGGTAAACTGCTAATTATGCATAAAATTACAGATTCACCTGGCAAAGTCTAATTTTCCCTATTTTCTAAAAATGTTTGCCATATGATGAAAAAACATGCTTATTTTAATGTATTTATTATAAATTTCCTAGGAAATAACAATGTTTTGTTGGGATACGACATATTTCATTTCACTTACCCTCCGTGATAACACGATTTCAGCCATATTTTGCAAATTTGATCGCCGTTTTTCGCCGTCCGTCGCAAGCACCATCTAAATACTGTACCTTAGCACGATTCTAGTGGACTAAAGAATTATTCAACCAATTTTTGATGGGTTTTGAAGTAGTGCCATGTAATATTTTTTCATTTTTGTGTCCCCTGACATTTCATCAATTATGTCGCCATTGTCATGTCTCGTCGCCTTTCTGCACGATAAATGTCAGTTCTTGATCCCCAGCTGTATTATTTTCACAGCATCGATAAATAATTGACAGTATAATAGCAGCTATCCAAAATTTAAAAGCATTTGTGCCACTTGAAAGTAAAAAACCACCCCTCGTTTATCGAGAATGAAATTTAAGTTCGAAAGATTCAAAATAATTTGAAAGTCTCGCACAAACTCCGCGACGAGCCCTCGTGGACAGCATTCCGGGGGGACGCAAATTCAAGCATACATTTGTTCACAACCACAATCAGTCAACAACCCGAGTAAAATTTGTCCGTTTTTGCTGTTAAAATTTCTCATCAAAAAATTAACAAGTCTCCGCGTTTAAATTTCATGTTCTTGCTTTCACAAAGCTAAAAAAATAAACCAGAAATGTATTCGTGAGAATATCCCACCCCCATTTTTGTGTCAGGGGACACAAAAATGAAAAAATATTACATGGCACTACTTCAAAACCCATCGAAAATTGGTTGAATAATTCTTTAGTCCACTAGAATCGTGCTAAAGTACAGTATTTTGATGGTGCTTGCGACGGAGGGCGAAAAACGGCGATCAAATTTTCAAAATACGGCTGAAATCGTGTTATGGCGGAGGGTAAGTGAAATGAAATATGTCGTATCCCAACAAAACATTGTTATTTCCTAGGAAATTTATAATAAATATATTAAAATAAGCATGTTTTTTCATCATATGGCAAAAATTTTAGAAAATAGGGAAAATTAGACTTTGCCAGGTGAATCTGTAATTTTATGCATAATTAGCAGTTTACCTAGAATAGTAAACATTCATTTTCTTGTAAAATATGAAACTTAGGCTAATTTCACTCTCCAGTGACCACCCATTCTGAACCATATAAATTCAGAAAGACTGTAGCTTTGGTAATTCAGGATTTAGAGCTATGTCGACTATGCCGTTTCTGGGTGTGGTCATTTTCAGGACTTTCGTCCCGGATTCACATTTTGGCACATATGCCATGTTGACCGCCATGGTCATTTTACCCTAAAACAGTTGAGATAATCTGTCCTAAATGAAATGCATACAAACTAGTCAGGAAAAGTTTCGGCATTTCAATATCGTTTCCATTCGGTTCCTCCAATTCCAGCGGTCTATAGATACGACTTTTCTATCTGTATACAAAATCTGGATTGCATGTTCATCTAGGTTGTTCAGAGTCCAAATTTTAAAGATGATTCACCATCACAGCATGCGCATGCTGTGATTATAACGGAAATTTGGTAGCGTTTTTGTACGTACCATTTACTGGAAGATTCGTACACACAAAACACTTGTCAATTAAATAGGTGTTTTTTTGCATCAGCATGCATGAGTAGCCTTCGAATTATCATGTCTGCACAGCTTCCAGAAAATCACGGTGTTGTTTTCATCGTATAATAAACAGTTGTTCAGACGTCACCTAATACTATCTTGCGTCCGTGATTCTTAGTGACTGAAGGCTTTTACCCACTCATCGCAAAACCAAAGCGCTCGCATGTTATAATTGCACTACTAAAATCATAGGCAGCCCAATAGCGAATGGTTTTATTTGAAATAAAATTGCACTAAGACATTGAAAATTAGAACAAAGCTATCTGTATTTTGATTAAATTGAACATGTATCATTTATTCATGCTAACTAAAATCCTGACATCCTATGTATTACGCAACGGGTGACTCGCGTGCTTGACAGTGTTCAGGCAATGTAGGCATTATATAGTATACATTGCCTGAACACTGTCAGCGAGCACGCGAGTCGCCCGTTGCGTATTATACAGGATTCAGGATTTTAGTTATAATGAAAAAAATGATACATGTTCAATTTAATCAAAATACGGATAGCTTTGTTTTAATTTTTAATGTTTTAGTGCACTTTTATTTCAAATAACACCATTCGCCATCGGGCTGCCTATGGTAAAATTTTGTTTTTAGTTCAATGCCGTTTTAACAAAAAATAGTGTTATAATCCCCTTAAGTATTCTCAGCAAATCCCTAAAACTTAGAATCTGCATGTCTATATGAATGTGTTACTGATCTATATATGCGCTAAAAAGCAAAGCATAAATATGATTTGATTTTTAAATATTTTAAATAAGGAACACTTACTATTTTTAACTAAAATCTACTATATACATGATGATTCATGATTGTCATATATCTCCCCCCCCCCCACCTCTCTCCCTCCAGTCAATGTTGGTTTTTAAATCCAAACATGTTTGCGAAAAAAATGTCCATCTATTTGGGATACAACGTTGAAAAGAGGGCGCGGGGGAGCTGGGTTTGTGTCATAAATCAATAATATGGCTACCTGTCCCTAAAATTGTAAACTTCTAAAAAATCTTTGACAATTTTGTCGAGTCACTGAGAACTACAGTTTGAAAGAAAAGGAGACATAGGGGTGAGTAGACATATGTTTCCTCGACATATATGTTTACTTATATGTTGCAAGTAAATTAGGCTGATTGTGTGAGCATTGCATGAGATTGGTCAGCTTTTCTGAACATTTATCGTATCGTGTGGAGGGAAAATGAGAAAGGACGATTGGTACACGTGAAACTCGCATATTCTCAAACTTGCGGATTAAATGTTATTTAAAACCCTGTTATCATGGTCATCGAGTAGCTGAACATCCTCGAGATACCTCGCTCCCAAGCAATTTAGTAGTTGGTGCAATGATGACCGATCATAAAATATAGCCCGCTCTCCTGCATGGTCATGGGTGGCATGAACCACTATTATTCGAACCGCTACCAGCATCCTTAAAACTTTAAAAATCTTCTGAAATCAGCGGGGATACGACAAGCCACAGTTCAAGTGGCGTACGGGAGACGATAATTGTTGGGGGGAGGGGGCACATATTCATATAATTATTCATGTCAACATACTTGTAAGACAATGGATTTGAAAAGAAATTAATATTGCACAACATGAACATTATGGTTTCCCGTACGCCACTGCGCAGTTCATTAAGAATCAAACATTCTATGTTGGTTTGTTCTTTTTACTAGCAGGATTAAAACTAATTTGCCCCCAAAATTGAGTAGCAAATGTGATTTTCATATATGTGTTCCGCCCTAAGCCTTACTTCTTTAGGCAATTGCATTTTTAAAAGAATTCCTTGGGCACAGCCGAATGTATGAATGTACTGTACACTCCCATGCAATTATCGCACGTATTAAAAAATTATTCATTTTGAAATCAATGGTGTTTCTTTCAATCTGATTGGTTAAAAATAGTGTGATTAATTCCCAAATCGGACTATATTTGAGCATTAATCACATCATTTGTAAGCCAATAAGATTGAAGCTCTGCACAACAATAACCAATCAGATTTACTGTAGTATCTCAGTGTAATCACGTCCCCAGCATGCAGACATAACGTCCCTTTACAAATTCTAGATTCATTTTGTTTTCGTCACACAACGGCATTAGTGCATGGTTTAATTCTAAATTGGGGAAGTGGGGGGTAATCAGTGTCCTATCGCCCAGACGATAATACTCGGAAATAATTATACTATCTATGTCCTTGTCTAGACTCAAGATGAAATTATTGAACGGTTCGTTGCAATAAAGAAAAATAAGCCACCTCAATAAGAGACTGTAGAAATAAAATAATTCTAAAGAAAATCGTAAAAGACTAAAAGAGTATATGATTACCGAATTATAATTCCTAAAATTTTCGAGAGATAATGCAATTGATTTACAAAAATTAGATCGTGATGTAAGATCGTGATGTAAGATGTAAGAATGTCGTAATTATTCTGATATGTTAAGCATTTTAATAAGATGTGTTCTTGGTGATTATGACAGCATTTGGTGAAATCTTTGTGCAACCATTTGCTGGAAGGTTTTGTTCACACAAAGATATGATTCGCAGTAATCATTGTCTCCTGACTTCGTGAAGAGGGTCACAGTTGCCACAGTACAACCAGGGCCATACCAAAGGATTCGTAAGGTGGTTTTGTCTCATTGTTTCGAAAAAAATTTATATTCGGATTTAATTGGGTTTTTTAAATCTTTAATTCTTGAAGGGGCCCTAAAGACTTTGGGTTTGAAGTTGAAGTTAATCAAGACTTCAACCCCACAAACATACACGGAATGTGTAGTGATCTCTAGAAAATCCATCCTCCAAAGAATAGTAATTATAAGAAAGCTTTATATTAGGATTAAGATAAAATTAATGTTGAATAGAAAATATTGCTATATAATAATTTCAAAGGTCACAGGGCAGCCTCCGTTTCTCCCCTGCTTTCTTCCCCCTATAAATTCGAATCTCAACCTACCAGGGTCGTAAAAATAAGTTTTCAAAAGTTACATTTTCATTTATTTTTTTCAGTGGCAGAAAGATTTCAACCATTTCGTTTTAGACTAACCGTCAAGTTTGTTTACATTTTTTTTCAAAACTAAATTTTAAAAAACAAAAATAAATTTTGGCTACTCCTGTTAAAAGGGTCCATTATTTACCATTTTACATGAAGTACTAGAAATACATGCATGCAGCAACCCCTCGCCATTTCAAACGAAGGAAAATATTTCCCGAGCTAGCAAGACCTAACCTTCAATATTATGAAATGTCCTAAATGTAAAGCCGATAGCTGATGTTTCAAATATTTCGGAAACAAGCACAGTCGTAAAGTGAAGTGAAATCACCCGTTTTCCTGCTGCTTTCCGTTGCATTAAGTTATAGACTTTCACAGTTTAAGTGAGAGTTAATACTTCATTATAGCTAAACCTTCAAAACATCAAAACAGCCCAAATAATATAAATAACCAAGCAGTGAACGTCGAATGTTGTTTTTCGATTGTTAAATTCATGCAGTGATTGCAGTCGACTATATATAAACCTTTAAAGTGATATTTGTTATATTAAAACACCGAATTACACTTTTAAGGACTCTTTTGGAAGTTAAAACGATGATGTAAAGCCTTAAATAGTCGGTCACGTCTTCGCAAAACCGAGCAAAACGACATACTGTACCAAGTTCATAAAATGTATTCGTACAGCAAACACGAATAAACCTCGAAATAAACAAAATAGACTCCTACCATTTCAAGGAAATAATCGAGTTGTTCCTTTTCACCGCTAATTCCTCCCGTTCTGATAATATTTTAAACTCTTTCCAGTGTTTTATCTGTTATTTGATTCCACATTTCATATTTTGTTTTCGAAACATTTTTTTAAAAAATATTTGCAAAATGACAGTTAAATTGCTGACGTTTTCACTGAAACACAAACGTTTCGTCTTAGCCAATCAAGAAATTGCTGATTACCAGTCTACACTCGTTCGCATTTCGCGCATGCGCACAAGTACCATGACCATTGAACGTCCATGACATTTGGGCAACTTTGGATTCTGCTATGTTCTCCCGGGTCCCGGGTGTAATTCCTAATCTCCGGGCGGAATTAGTACCCTCGCACGGCGCTTCGCGCCGCCGGCTCGGGGATTAAAAATTTGGGCTTTCTGATTGACGTAGCCTGAAAAATGTAAACAAATATGCCGACTGGTTTAAAACGAAATTCAACTTTGTTGTGAAACAACAGCAGTTAAAGATTATGTCAAGTCGTGAACAAAGTATTTACATTTTAACTTTTTTAAATTTTAAACTTCTTTAAACTGTATATGTATATCTCGTGCATTACTGGTTTTAACTATGATTTTAGTATGATTTTTATGATTTTAGTATGATTTTTCACCAAGATTTTAACCGAATATTAGCCAAAACATGCAAAATTAGGCAATATTCAACTTTCCGGGCTTTGCATTGTTATGAGAACTGAGAAGAACCGAAGCGCAATGAAGTCACTTCTTTTTTTGAGATTTTGAGACTTTATTGCTAATTATAGGCAGGATTGACGCAAGTTTTTCCTGCTGTGTTGGAGATTATTTATTGACCTATTGAACTTCTTTGACACAATTTTTCAATCCTCAATACTGTATTTTCATAGTTCATACACGTAATCTGTTGTGCTTGGCTGCTGTCTCGCCATGTGATGACTGATGACGTAGGCTGTTGCTTATACGATATATATATATTTCAAGAGTTCATTGTTCAACATTAGTACACTATATAGTGACTATACGTTGCACAAGCGGTGATTTTGGAACCAAATTACCAGAGAATATGGTGTCGGTTTGCGTGAAGACAGTTTTACTTTTGATGTTCTTTACCTACCTAACTTCTACAATTACACAAGCCGTAAGTGAGACATCATGTTTTCTCAGAAGGTTATTCAGTGCAGAATGTAGAAAGGTTGTGGCAAGACGATATCGGCTACGAGGTGGAATGTTCCAAATTTTCGCTTATTTAGATATAGCTTTCAAACTCTGTAACGGCTAGATAGTACATTTTCAAGCCGAGTTTCTCAAACTGGCTAAATTTCACTAAATAGCGACAGTAGTTAATTAATATGGTTTTCAAACATTCCGCGCATACACATTCAAATTTGATAATAAAACTTTCAAGACGACCATGCACTTTAATGAATAGCGTTTGGCGTTGTAACGTATAGGTATATAAGGTACATTTGAAGTCTAAAAATTGTTGTGTGTAGTGTAGTGATACGTGACTACCAACTTGTTAAATCTCGTCTTTGTTTAATTAAACGAGGACGCTCACTAATTGGAAACATGAGTTATTTCACTGAACGGAGGTCATTGCCAACCCTTGCCAGGTTATCTGTTTAAAGTAGAAACTCAATTTTAAGATAGTTGATGTCGGTTTTTCTTTATAGTGAGCACCACCACCCACTATGGGCACTACTAAAGGTGGTGGCAATAGACATACTTTAACGATGCCGTTCGGCACAACATTAAAGAGACGGAAGGTATGATTTATTTCTTCATGATATGTACAGTACTGTGCAGAAATAACCTAAAACTGCGGTTGCGTTGTTTTAAAAATGTTCATCAGCTTTAAATAACTTTTAATGCCAGTTTCCATTGCACGACGCAAACAGATTTTTCCATTGCGCTGTTGCATTTGTCGGAAATATTGTGTGTATATTGTGTGTATGTGTGTATATCTTAGTAAATGTGCGTGGTTGTCACTGTCAGTGTGTTTATGTGAATGATAAATATATTTACTATATAATGCATGGAAAAAACAGGATGAATGTAAAATAACAAAAAATAACAGGAAACGATCCTAAATGCATTAACTAGTTGCTTTTGCCAAAATGTGTCGAAACGGGCACGATGCCCAAAGTATTTTGGTTGTGCTAAGTTAGTGGTTTGAGGAAAACGAAGTACGTCAGAACGGTTTCCGAACCGGGACTATAAGTAAATGTGTAGAGCTGTAGTATAGGGAGATTGCTTTAGATTGTTTTAGATTGTTTGAGATTGGTTTTAGAGCGTTTTGAGATTGTTGTAAGAGAATTGGTATGAAAAAATTGTTGTAAATTAAAGATAAAAGTAAAACCAGCGTGTGCAGGTCAATTTACTGAACGAAGCCAGTGACTTCTGCGACAGCATTAAAATCACCACATTCAATCATGCACTCGTTCACACGCATTTGATCACTAATCCGTGAATAATATAGGATGAGATGTTTACGAAATCACTCGACAACATATATATTTTGACGGTTTTTGGTGTTATATAAAACAAACAATAATTAATGTTTTCACTCATTCAATAAGAATATTTACAGAAAACACGGAATCTTTATCACATAAATCTTTATGAAAGAAGACAAGCACATTCTATTCTATTGTCGAAATGACTGCACCACTGCTAGGATCATGTTAGATAGCTACTGATTTCAATACTTCAAAGTCATCTTATGCTTCGTTTTTCAGGCCTGTTACAGTCGCATGAGCCTAATTTTGAAGTGACACGAATGTGATGAAAAACAGCGCTAGCCTTTATAAAAACGCAGTTTAAATGCGCTACCTTAGTTTAGCTAATTTAACCACGTAGCATCAGCTGTGGAATAACAACTGCCTAAAATAGATAAAACACTTCTCGACGTTTCTACCTGAGGGCCTTCGTCAGGAGAGTTAGTGTGAAAATAGATATGGGAGAATATATGTTTTGTATGGGAGCAAAACACGTGATAAAAATGGGCCAATAGAAAAAAAAAATTAAAACAAATTGGAATACTTAATTGCGCTGCCAAAGACATTTCTGCATGATTGTGCATGGGCTAAGAATGAGAGAAGCCTGATCAGCAACGAAAATATATTAAAACCAGCTTTGATGTAAACAAAGAAATAGAAGTCAATATATTACTCGCGTGAATGAGCTTAAATGAAACAGAGTCTTTCATTTATTCCGGAGGGATGAAGAGTGCCAAGACTGTGGATGAGTCGCATTTCTTGTCGTTTACGGCTATCGTTAGTACCCGGAAATGAGACAGAGGGCTCTAATTTTCATGTCTTGTACACAATGATTACCAGAGGTAAAGTGTCTAGAAACAGACACTATCGTTATACCACAGTTGATGCTAAGTTGTTTGAAGACTCTCCTTGGTTATGATTTAACCATGATAAAAAATTTTCGATTATACCAACTTGTCTAGGTCAGGGCAGTTTCTGGTGTTGATGAATTGTATCCTTTATGAAAGTTAATGAATTAAACCCTATAAAGACACCCTTTATAACGCATTAGTGACGTACCAGTATTAACATTTAGTCTTAATTTACCAATAAAAATGTTGGCCGTCAAAGCTAGGAATTGAAAAAATTACTATAAATTTTGAAAGAAAAAGTTGCTTATTACAAAAGGAAAAGCAGATAAAACAGCTGATGGCGAAATGGTATCGCCCTTCATCCGCACAAAGTAATTAAAGAAGTATTTGAAAAAAGAAACGTAAATAAGTTTATGTCCAGCCACAGCGCTTTATCAGTCTTAGGCTACTCTGGACTAATTACGGAAATTCTTTAACAATCTTGTTCAGCCAAGAAAGAAGAAGGCGAGAAACAGAGGTTAGTAAAAATATTTCACCATTTAATAGTTAATACGTTATCTACATGCACATGCAGGGTGTTTTAAAGAGAGTGCTTATAACCCTGCGAGCTGTTGGGAGTAATTTAGCCTGTAATTGCGTGAGTATTAAGAATTTTAAGATGGATTAGCCATTTTGAATAATTTTAGTTTTATTACATGGGAAAAAAACGAGCACGGACGATGCTGACATTCCCACTATATTTTTGCGTTCATATGAACTATTAAAAATAAACCCTTTTTATCAGTGTTGTCGGTATGTTTTCTTCGGTCCAACATTTTATTTAAGCACCAATCGTATCATAATTGATGATGACGTATCACAAAAATACTCCCCCAACATGTGCCTTTTATTCAACCGATTACTATAACTTGAAACTTCAATCGCAGATTGCGCGGATACGAAGTACTCTGTAATCGTAATAATTATAGTATTTAATGTGCTTCTATAGAGTGAAGATGAAATTATTGAACGGTTGATTGACGCCGGAATGAATAATTAGCAGTTAGCCCATCAATAAAAGACTGTAGAAGACAAGTAAAATAGTATGGGAAGAATAGTAAGAAATTAAAAAGAATATCGTTGCATGTAATAGAGGGCATTTGAAGCAATATTTTCAAGAGATAAGGCAATTGATTTATACAAAATAATGTCAGATCAATCATGCATATATATGACGTTTCATCATGAAAAATAATTAAAAATAAATTTCTAATGTTATCAGTTTAAAATTTGCGCAATGTCAAATTTTTTAAGCTTTCATCAGTTTTCTAATCTATATCAGTATAAATAGCTAAGCATTTGGGCAAGAAACGAAATTGCCTTGTCTCATGAAACGTTTCGGACTCTAAAATTATCGTAATTTGTAGGCATATAAATTCTGTAATTCTGTAGGCATATAATCTTTATACGTTAAGCATTTTAATGACAATGTTCTTAGTGATTATGAAAGCGATTTGGTCAAATCTCTGTGAAACCATTTGCTGGAAGCTTTGTTCACACAAAGGCATTTGAATTAAAATTTTAATTTTGATTTATCGTTGTTCCACAATTTCGTAAGCAGGTTCACAGTACAACCAGGGCCATTCCATAGTGGATTTGTTTTTGAAGGGGGTCTGCCCAGATTAAGTTCATCCCGTGATGAATTGTCAGAAAAAGTTGATTTCTAAAATTTGGATGCAATCCATCATTTAGAAATTTTGGCTCCAAATTCGTTGTAGTTCAGGTATGGTCCAAAGGTACCCAATCTACGCCCAAAGAATCCAGCCCATTGCTTTCGTTGAATGAGAAACCCCGAGCATGTAATAATATTCCAGTGGCGATACCAAACACATTAGATAAAATTTCCAATGAAACTAATACTAAAGATATATAAGTTATTATTCTGAGCGGGAAATTTCAATATCAATCTTTAGAACAAAACATGCGTACATTACCTTTAAACAGACGCAAAAATATATGTAAGCTATAAACATAATAATTTAAAGCCAATTATACATAAAGCACTGAAACAGGGGAACTAGATTAATTTTTTTAGCAATGGTGAGTTTATTAGAATATTTTTGGAAATTTTTCCGAATAAAAGTTAAAACCAAAAAAGTTGAGAAAACCATCAAAATGTTACACGCACAAAAGTCACTCTATCCTTGACATGCATTTTGAGCCGTAGGAAGCGTCCGGACAGCTTTGATGTTAGAAAGCTGCAAGTACAGGCAAGTACAGGTAGTGCTGAAACTGTTGACGCATATGCCGACGTTTTTGTGCGGTGTTGCACGTTATACACTGACCTGTTGAACTTCTTTCACGCAATTTATGCAGGATCAGGATGTTGCGGCCGTTTATTTCCTACCACAATGTCAGGCTTTATTCCAGTTTACGTCATCGCCTGGATGAGCGGTTCCTTTTCTGTGCTCAGACTGATGTGGCCATTTATTTACGCTTGATAAGGATTAGAAAAGACTTTGCGAGAACTTCATTTAAATAACATACGCAGTGAAACATATAATACTTTAAAACTTCGTATACATATATACACATATGTGCCCATTATCTGAAATACTGAATTCAGTCTGAAATACTGAATTCAGTATTTTTCACATAATTCCACAATCATTTATTTTATATGTAAGCGATTTTGTTCTTTTATAACTAAATGACGCAAATACTGTATTCTCATGAATTATATAATCTGTTTTGCTTACTCATCATGTGATGACGTAAGCTGCTGTTTATAAGGTATCATTATTTCAAGAGATCACCATTCAACATCAGTACACTATACGTTGCACAAGCTGTAATTTTGGAACCAAATATCAAAAATACAAACTATGGCGTCCTTTTGCCTGAAAACAGTTATATTTTTGATGTTCTTCACCTACTTAACTTCTACAGATGCTCAAGTAAGTGACACGTATAAGTGTGTTTTTATATGAAGTTTTTATATTTGCTGAATGCCGAATGGTCATTGTGTGCTTAGCGAGACGATATCGCGTAGGGTACGTACGCATTGATGTATTCTAAACTTACACTTTATTATATTACAAGTCCTAACTCTATATTTAGGCTAGATAGTACATTTTTATGCCCGTTTGGCAAGCTGGCTAAATTTTACCAAATATAGGTACGGTAGTAATTATGATTTTCAAAAATTACGCAAGGTTGCAAATAACGCACATTAATCACATTCATAGACGACTGCATGGTTTAACTTTATTTCTCTAAATGTTAATACTAAAATGTTTCGGATTTGACGTTTGTTTTAAATGTATCATAAAATGGACTGTTTATATACTGATAGAAATACAAACCTATACCAATTTGTCAAAACCTCGCGTCTTTGTTTTGCTTTAAGAACTGTTTACGTATATGGGACGAAAATTTCCGTTAAGAAAGGCAATCTTTGATAGTTTCTAATGGAAATTTAACCACACGATAGTCAATGTTGATCTTTCTTTGATATAGACTTGACCACCACCACCTCCAGGTGCTCCCGCCGCCTTATGCGCACAATTGAAACAACGGCAGGTATGTTCTATTTCAATTGCTTTGACTTAAACTATTTGTTTTGACATGTATAGTATCGATTTGAAGCGATTCGACTACTTTTTGTCAACTTTTCTGTGACAGTTGTTAAATTCCTGTTGTTCTAAAAGATTCAGTGGTCTGAACGTGTCATACGTACGCGCGACTCGCGGAAGTTGTTTCAAACGGACGTGTCAATAATTTACGCAATTTAAAAGATTACAAGCCAGCATATTCATTGGGTAGAACCGAGCCTGGGGAGACAAATATTTTGTCGGCTCATTTACGTCATAATTATAAGATTCTATTCTCACATGGCATACTTCGAAATCCGGACCGAACTCGGACTCCGACTGAAAGAAAACCCGGACTCGAAGGAAAACCTAAATATATCACCTTCGTGACAATTATTTGCTTAACTTGTCACGAGCATAATAGGAAACCCAAACCCCAAGACTCGACTCAAGAGGTTATTGATTATAAAGCCTCTCTTCCGCTTATGCATGGCTAACTTAATTGTAAGCTCGCTGGGAGGATTTTCATCCATGAAAATTTTTTTTGTTGATTATATTTATGTAGGCCAGAGAAGTTCAAGAACTGAACGTTAAAAGAAAGAGAGACACGTGGGTGAGTACCATTCAGTAACATTCATGCATGCCAGTCAGACTGTGTGTGCATGTATCCTTTAATTGAGATTTTTTACTAAATTGAGATTATTTTCTAATACGTTTTCTATCATGCACGTCACATGCAGCTGCTGCATTTGTGATAATCATTTCTCCTTCAATTCATTTTGGTGGGATCGTTAAGTGGGGGGGGGAGGTAAAATTAGTAGGTAGTGAAGGGTATGCAGTGAGCTCCACATATATCTGGAGTAAGAACTTTTGGTGCAAAAAGTGAAGCAAAAGATGGCGGAAATTGAAGCGCTATAGTACGTCAGTTTCAGTCTCCTAACTCGCGCGGCCAAATATTTCTCATTGTTTTTGACCAGGAGTGACGGTTCCCGAAACTCTCAGATTTTCGTGTTTTTCATCATTTTGAGAGCACAAGAACGGAAAAAATTTATTCATTTTACTGAGAATCTGTTTCTTTGTATCTACCCGATGTGGGTGCCGCATTTTCCGACTGTACGTGTGAGTAAATATGCATTTTTCGCCGTAAATTCAACTACGCATTTCAGATTTGTTTAATTTTGAGCCATTTTCATGTATTTCCCCTTATGTTTTGTGTTTCTTGTTTCGTTTTTGGTTTCGAAACGCTTTAACACTAGTTGTCCTTTATTTTTTGGCCAGCTTTCCTAGCATAGGGCTCTTTTTAAAGTTTCTTTTATACGTGCATTATGAGTCTTATTATTTATTTCAAACTCGTACGTTTTTCAGCATAATTTTCTTTCCAGCCTATTAATTATTTTACATGAATGAAAGCCTTATATAGATGAATCAAACCGAGAAAAGTTTTATTTATGTTTTTTTGGGAAGCATATTCTGTGAGTAAATGTTGTGAATTGTGATTTGCGAAAAGGCGAAAACATCAACAATACGTCACTCCTTTATAGCTTTTCGTGTAAGATATCGCTTATTTCCTTGTTAATTTAATTGAAATATAAAAGTAACTCAATACAAAGCATTTGTATTACACTTGTCCTTGAAATTCCCCTCATTTTTTACTCAGAAAAAGGAAAAAATAAAGCTAAAAAATACGAATTTAGTTGACCGCGCACACATAGGAAGACTGAAACTGACGTACTATAGCGCCTCATTATCCGCCATCTTTGGCCGCACTTTTTGGCCTCACGGAAGTCTTAAGTTCTTACTCCAGATATATGTGGAGCTCACTGGGGGTTCGGTGAGAAGATTCAGACTCTTACAGCAGTACCACATGCGGGTTCAATACACGGGAAAATTTCAAGTTGAAGAGAGATTTAGCATGAGGACGTGAACGTCAAAGACGACGTGAAAATGGCGAATGAACAGCGTGATGCGTCTATAGACGACGTGAAGATGGCGAATAAATGGCGTGATGCGTCTATATATGGACATGCCACGCCATTTATTCGTGTCGTCTTTGACGTTCACGTCCTCGTGCTAAACTTCCCCAATATCCAAACTAATTGTCATTTTCATACTGTATGGATGTAGTGCGGAAACAGTATGAGTGTAGCATATTTCCATAGTCAGTAATATGGTAGTATTGATGTGTATTTATTCCTTCTAGAGTGAAGATGAAATTATTGAGCGATTGCTGGCAATGAAGAATTAGGAAGAACCTTGGCAGAGACTGTTGAAGACAAGTGCAATAATTTCAAATAAAAAATCGTAGGATGATTAAGTGTATATGATTACCAAAGTGTAATTTGCAATATTTTCGGATGGTAAGGCAATTGATTTAAAATATTTGATCGTGCATGCTTCGATCCCGTTCCGTCTCACCAAATGACGGTTCAACCGTTCAATGTTGTCTGAATATTCATACTAACTTTCTAAAGTTACCCGACCAGCATTAATCTCAAATCTTCTGCAAGATATTTTCAGTCTTATCAAAGAGTCAGTAGCTATAAGCAATTTTTCTAAACAAGAAACGAGATTGCCTTGTCTCTTGAAATGTTTCAAATCCGCTATAGAATTAATTTCAATTTTTAGATAATTTCAGTTACCATTTTAATGACGGTGTCCTTAGTGATTATGACAGCAATTTGGACAAATCTCTGTGAAACCATTTGCTGGAAGCTTTGTTTACATAAAGGCATTTGAATTAAAATGAATTTGATTTGATTAGTCATTGTTTCCGATTCTGCATGAAAAAAGAGAGTCACGGTTCGACCAGAGTGGTTCGGAAGGGGTAATAGGAGTTTGCGTCATTCACATGATGCAATAATGGAAAATTCGTTTTTCTTGTAAGGAAAAGTTTCGGCATGTCAATATCGTTTCCATTCGGTTCCTCCAACTCCAGCGGTCTAGATACGACCTCCTGTTATACTTCAGAGTCCAAATTTTAAAGATGGCACACCCTCACAGCATGCGCATGCTGAGATGTTAGTGATTATAACGGAAATTTGGTAGCGCATTTTTGTACGTACCATTTACCGGAAGATTCGTTCACAGTGAATGTTCACAGTGCCCTGGTCATACTTTTCACGTTCGATTTTTGAAAACGCACAACGTAATATATTGGACTCTGGGTCAAACAGCAATCCAACCATGTACCCAGGGTCTGGCGAAATTACCCTGGGTGCGAGGTTGACCGCGATCCTGCTTTGTCTAAGTGAATCACCTGCAATAGAAATGACCCTGCAAATGATAAGATGTCAAGTACGCGATATTCTTTTGAAAACCCGTGACTAGACCATCGCCATGGGTTGTAATTAGAACGATGGGATACATTGGAATTAGAACCATGCATGCATGGGTTTAGTCTACACAGAAATTTTTTCGGTGGAACGAAAATAATTGCAGGGAAAGTGTGTACTTGCATAAAACAGATAGCTACATCGTACTATGTTCATATATTCGTCCTATAGCCCAGATTTTGTACATTATTTATTTAAAATCATGCCCGCTGGCAATATTGACACTTCAAAAAAAAAACAGAACAAATAATATATTAAATTAGGACTTACTTAAATTATTATTGCAAGGATAAAAATATTAATTTCGCTAATCCACACGTTGACGTTGTGCACGTGTTGCAAAAGGCTATTTTGCATAGTTATAAAAATATAACCTTATAGAAAAAAGAACGGCTATTACGAACCATTTAAGATGATCACGATTTGAAACGTAACTATATTAGACTACCAGGTGATGTGAAATGGCAGGAAAGGACTCGGACTAGTTGTCAAATAAAATTGTTCTCGGGTGAAACAACTTAAATGCTGCAGAGTGGATTTTTATATTCCGACAACCTTTCTGAACCCTGATTGGCGAAAATATGAGCGCGGGATCACCTGGTAATTTGTTCCTAGAATTGCACATTCGATGATTATTACGCTCTGGGATCGGTTGTTCAAAAGCCGGTTAGCTTAACTCTGAGTTAAAGCAAATCTTAACATCGATTTTTCAAGCCGCTTGTTTACAAAGTTGAATATCTTTTTTCATAAATATTTTCTGGACCAATATAGAAGTCATATTTTGTGCAGTTTCGAAAAGAACAGTGGTTCAAAAGTAGCTACATAAACGAAAACACTGGATTAAAATTTAACCCAGGGTTAGCGCTAACCTAGCTTTGAACAATTGGCCTTTTCAATCTACGTGGGATGATATTATTTAATACATCGAAAACGACATTAGAATTGCTATTTGCAAATTTTTCATGGTGTAAAAAGTATTTTGTCACATTATTGACATTATTGACATGTTGTTTTCATCGTGTGATAAACATGAGCAATTGTTCAGAAGTCAGATTTTAAACTTAGTCATCTAATACGATCTTGCGTCGTGATTTTCAGTGACTGAAGGCCTTTATCCATGCACTCATCGCAAAACCCTAGTGCTCGCATGTTATATAATTGCACTACTACAATTTTGCGTTGTTCAATCCTGTTTTAACAAAAATAGTGTCATATAATTGCCGTTGGAGCCTTGGAGGACTGCTGCCATGTGCACAACAAATCTATATCAGTGTTCAGTAAGACGCCTGCTGATATTAATGTAGACAAAATAATAACGTGGTACGAGCCGAATTCTAACCCTGGTGACCAAAGTCTATCACCTTCTGTGCAGATGAATCTGTCACTTTTATAGCTATATATATATATATATATATATATATATATATATATATATATATATATATATATATATATATATATATTTGTAAAATAAAGAGTCGCCATCTCAGTACACTTCGTAAAATAAAGAGTCGCCATCTCAGCACACCAACGTTTTGGCGCGGTCCCGGATAACTATTGCATCGTTTATGCTCCTCGAGGCTGTTGTTTCTCATGGAAAAAGCCTTCATAATCAGGCAGGAACTGCATAGCCAGAACGAAAACTATCGAGGAAATTCTTGACTTTCATGATGTGAATGTTCACTTGTCTGCGTCAGAGCATCAAGAATTAATGACGATGTCTGAGACTCTTGAGATTGAAGTTCTTCATCGTCTTCTTCGATGACTTCGGAATCTTCGAGTGTTTCAATACGAAGTTCAGATTTACCTTCCACGAAGAATTTCATAATAGTTTTCTGAAATGAAATGAACAAATTGATGGAATCAGTTTAGCAGTTCCTCAAGAAAGATCTGAATAGTATTATTATACGCGAAAACGAGATGTTCAGGTTTTCGACAGCCAAAATTTCAAAATCATTTGCTTTTTTCTAAATCTTGACAGAATAAACCTCCTTTTTGTGTACCTTGTAACAAGTCAACTAGAAAAGTGAAAACAATGACTTTGAAATTCAGCTTTAAAAATCTGGTTAGACTCGCGCAACTTATTCTTGGGCACCTGCTCTTTTTTCTAGCATACTCGTAGGCTAGCAATGATAACCTACTATAGCATTGATTTCACTAAAATTATAATCTGAAAGAAGAATTTTCGGAACAGAAAGCTGTCAGTTCGGAACAGAAAGCTGTCAGTTCGCCCCAGTACACTGTCCAGTAACTTTTCTTACAACGGTAAATCTTGTTTTTACTACAAAACACCATCAAATCACTTGTCCTCGATATCTACGGGGAATACTCAACTCGGCCTCGTTGTTTCAAAATCAGACCACAATAATCATGCACGCATTCACTGGACGAATTGTACCACAGAATTCTGATATCATTCCTATAATGTCTTATTGTATATAAACTTTTACAAACAGTTACATAAAAAGTCTCCGCTGTGATGTAAAGTTTGCGGTAAAAACGTGCTCCTGGTTTTTACATTTGGTCGGATTGACTGAGCAGAAACAGACTTTTTACGTTTGTATATTTTTGTGAGCAAACCTGATTTTGGATTCCTTTCTTTCCTTGAACCATATACGCGAATTTTGTGACGGTTCGTAGTATAAGATCCTTGACCTATATACACCGACAAAACTACAATTAGCTTCGCGGTGGTGAAAACTAATTACTCCGGCGTCAGCGACGGAGTTGAAAATTCGCCCCGGTTTTGTTTTGTTTTTGTTTTTTTTATTTTTCGTCGTCGCAAGTCTGTAATGGCGCGAAATATACTAGTGTTTAAAATGTGTATGTGATTGGATTTATTTATGTCCCAGTCTTATCTCCCAAGAGTTGTGGTGCACAGCTTTGGCTAATTTTCCAATGCGCGATTCGATTTCGCTCGCATGATACGGCAATTCCTCCAAGAGGAACAAATAAACCGTTCTTTTCGTGCTGTTCGATTAAGTTTAGATTAAATTGGGGTAAGAATATATTTAATACATGTAGATTCTAGTCCTATTTTAATAATATCGCTGCTATTTTGCCGTTTAACAAGATGATGTGGTCGTGTATGGGCGCTTTGACACGTCGCGTAGTTTGCACAGGATCGAAGATTTAATACAACTATATAAGCGCGAATTCCAAAGGAAGAAGAAGCGAATGTATCATGCGGTTTATTTACATTTTTGAACAATTGAACTTCTATACTGCGATGTGCTTCTGAATTTCGCGATCGAACATTTAGGTCCGCAAGGCATCTAAATGCGAATATGTATGCGAAACAATACGCGAATTGTATTGTTTATGTTCAGAAGCTCTATATTGTGAAGACTGGCACGTGCGCCGGAGTTAACGCCAGAACGGCGTCTTGTTTGTCATAATTGTCATAATGATGAAATGTTTCGTACCTTAGAACGACTCATGAACATCGCTCTTGGATCTTTGATATGGCTGTGAAGTGAGGTGAGCATCATTTTAATCTTCTCAACGATAACCTGAAATACGTGAAGATGAGGTAAGCATCTCAAGGAATTAGCCCTAAAAAGGCAACTGCAGGGAGCTGCATGGTTGTTTAAATCCCTTACTCTCTATTTTAATGTCCTGAAATCACTCAGTTTTGTCAAAGCACCTCATGACAATGACGGATTCGGGGCACTGAGTAAGAATAAATTTCACAGTCAAATTTCCAATTCAAAAGATCTCGATACCAACGCTATTGGTTATTCATTTCTAAAGAACATTTTGACATAAAAATTTACCGATATGGTTTCAAGTTAGAGCTGTAGTATTTTATTCTCACTTACAGTGGATCAGCTACTGATCTTAGGTCAGCTGGACAAACTACATATATGTTTTTCCTCAAGTCTGTATTAATATTAACAAACCTTTTCCTGGGGTACAAGGCTTTCTGCTCCAACGACAGCATCGAGCAGTTCGATCATTGTGTAAAGCTCATAATAATCAGTGTCGTCATTCACATCTACTTTTTGGAGTAATACATTAACTTTTGTAAACATCTAATAAAAATATTTCAAAAAAACAACAACTTGAATTAAGAAAGACTACAGCAAAAGCAACCTAATTGGTTAATAGCCGTGTAGGATTGCCTTCGCGCGTGCATAGCATTTTGAATAGTTCTAAACCGTTGTTTTACTGCAGTTATTTTTATATAATACAATTGCCAAATGGTTGTTTTGCATTCCCATATCTTGGGTCTTTGATATCTAAGTCAATATCATGACCTTATTAACATTGACGTCATTAACGGATGCAACTTTTTTTCCCGTTATGTGATAGAGTTCATGAAAATAAGTTTCACACATAGCGATCAGCCAATCAAGAATTGAATTATAATAAAAGGCTTATACTAAACATTAAAATCTCTTCCATTATTTATAAAGCTTTTTTGTGTCTGGTTGCATGTGAACCGGAAATCAAGTGACCTCTATATTTGTTCAGTAGGCAGATGCACTATCCAGTCTTTGCGGATCAGTGCTTTGCGGTGCATTTGCTTCAGCAGTCAGGAATACAAATATCCAAGGAGAAAGTAAGAGTGTGGCATCTACCTGATGTGTATTGGTTATTTGCTGATCATTTTTCAAATCGTCATCCGATATTATGAACGGATTGATATCAGTCATAGTGTTGTGTGAAAGCGAAGCCAAGATCTGAAGTGCGGCCAATCTTTTCACATCATGTCCTCTATTTGAGTAAGGCTGAAGTTGGACAATACGTAGTTTGTTGCGATGATGAGTCTCGATACGACAGAGAATAGATGATAACCTGGTTGCCTGTATAATAAAAGAAAGAATACTAGTTGAAATCATTTGTGCACGCCTAATGAAAACTGATCACATCGACCAACGGCTACCGACCACCAGATTTGGGTATTTTAGCTCTTGTAAAAACGCTTGGAAAGCAATAAAACTACAGATTTGTAGCTAACAATTATTAAAGAAGACACCCAGTCTAAAAATACCAAGGTTTAATCCACGTTATAGGCGATTAAACAGCCGTATCCGGTGGTATAACAACTATAATTAGGACTTTATAGGAAAGGAGAATTTAAATAACGTCAATTTTCTAATTCATTTTATATCTAAAAAATTTTAAAATGCACACAAGAATTCACCCTTCGTTGTTTTAATTCGTGACTTAAATTTCAACAAATTCAAGAAAGGGAAAGTAAAAAAATCATGCACGGTTTTCAACTATAGTACTGTATCGTTTCGGCAGAAAGGGGGACTACATTTACTTGTGCGTATGTTAAATCATATAAATGTATAAATGCATGATACTGTAGTTTGTTTGTCTCATAACAATAATAATATAGTACAAATACCTGGTCAATCCAATGTCTTTGGTCTACTGCACTATACAAGGCTTTAAGACACGTTTTAATGTCATGATCAATAATCGTCAGGCGTGTATCAAGCGATATAAAATACAACAACAGCACAAAATCTTCAATATCTTTGGTGTTGTATCTTTCCGGGTAGCGATCCAAACACAATGTCATGAACTGAATTAAACGAGTAAAGTTGGCAAGTGGAAAAAAGGCGCTGTCTTGTTCATCACTACAACAAAAATAGTAAACTTCACGTGAAAATGTCGATTATTTACAAATGATTTGAAGCAATTCGACGTGAAATTTCAATATCAAATTCCCCACACACGTTTTCAATTGTAATCTTCAAGGGAAACGTTTCCGGATCAGTTTTGCTCATAATAATGCGGGGCAAGCAAATTAGAGAAGTTGTATATTTTGCATGTTTTCCAATTTCCTGGAAGATGACTCTATAGTTCATATTCATTTCAAACCATAGCAACTTAATGTATGAGATGCACGCAGACAATCCGCCGTATTTAAGAAATACAAACAAAGCGTTTGTTTTCTTCTAGATCTTCATTTTGTGTTTTGTGCTAGTCTTAGTGAACTATTTTGACCGGAACGATTACTCAGGATTATTTGACCACCATCTTTGAGAGCCCAATAGACGATCAGTGATTGCGAGCGATCGTCAACCGTCCCGACATAAACGATGGAGCACGGTCTTAAGAAGCGTTGCATGTGCTTTACCTAAACTTTTCTCACCTTTTGTCAGCAGACGCGTCGTTTTCACAGGTCAGTTTGAGGAGATTTTCGCCAATATCTATACTTTTACAAACTGTAGGCAAGAGTAAGGTGATGTTCGTTCCAAAATTGCTGAACACGTTAAGTGCATCCTGAATATCGGGTATCCACGAGAGACGTCTTGGCTTTTCCTGCATGTAAGAAATATATAATTATAAAAAAATACGGTATAATAAAATAAAATAACACAGCTTTATCATGTTACTGCATACTAAATCCTCTAAACGCGTCAAGCTGTTCTCAGCGAAAATTTTTGTTCGATTTCCTTCTCAATTGTGATAGGTCAAGAGATTAATCTGCTACGGTCGAATTCTCACAATTAAAAAGAAAAATCAGGCGAACATTTTCGTACGGTTGAAAACTTCAGCATAATGGAAAACCGCCCAGTCGTTAAGCTAGCAGTCGTTAAGCTAGCAGTCGTTAAGCTAGCAGTCGTTAACCTAGCAGTCGTTAAGCTAGCAGTCGTTAACCTAGCAGTCGTTAAGCTAGCAGTCGTTAAGCTAGCAGTCGTTAAGCTAGCAGTCGTTAACCTAGCAGTCGTTAAGCTAGCAGTCGTTAACCTAGCAGTCGTTAACCTAGCAGTCGTTAAGCTAGCAGTCGTTAAGCTAGCAGTCGTTAAGCTAGCAGTCGTTAAGCTAGCAGTCGTTAACCTAGCAGTCGTTAACCTAGCAGTCGTTAACCTAGCAGTCGTTAACCTAGCAGTCGTTAATCTAGCAGTCGTTAACCTAGCAGTCGTTAACCTAGCAGTCGTTAACCTAGCAGTCGTTAACCTAGCAGTCGTTAAAATGAAAGAAAACATTATACCTTGCTATCTTCAGCGTTTACCATTGACCATAATGCATTGTAACCAGCTTTGACCGTGTGTTTATGCAGATGATAGCATATTATGTGGAACAGCCACTGGACGACAGCCGACGGGCAAGGACGAACCAGGTACCTGTGAGTGATCCAATCAGAACATAACAGTTCGCGTATCTCTTCATCAGATCTTTGATACAAGAACCTGGTGAAATCGTCGGTATCAACGGTCTCTTTCAATGAAAGTGGTTCACTACATCCATTCACATGCTATAGGAGAGGAATAGAAATGGATATAGCTATTACAATCTTGGAACCCCAGACACAGGATGGGTAAAATACAGTGGGTATAAACGAGTACAATGTTGCATCGGATGGAGGGTATTAAGTTTTTGTTGATCGCTATCCCTTTCTAGTCATGTGACCCGGAAAAACCATTTGATAATCGATATCTACGTAGGGTATATGAATATTCACAGTCTATTCGATCACAAAAGATCGAATATTCATGAATATTTAAATTATAGTGTTGCGTTCTCTTTCTTCACCCTGGATAGTGTCTAGTCATTGGAATTGAAATTGGCCAAATGCTTTGAGATCATCTGACAAGTATGATTACCTTTGTTGGTTGTTTTAACCCAGGAAAGATATTCACTCCATGCATCTCCTCTGCAAATCCTTTATCGGTACATTTGTATTTCTCAAGTTCTTTCTTATGGATTGGCAACAGTGTTTCCTCGTCATCTACATAGAGTACAATAAATAAGTATATATGAAATCGCATCTGGAACACGAGATTTATTAGAGAGCTTTAGATTTGACTACGGCTACGAGATAGTGGCGCAAAACGCGTATGCAGTTTATACTGTCAAATGTTTCGAAAATTTCTACGCTTAGCATTTTGCAAAATAAACATAACTAAAGCTATACGGCCATAAAAATATTTCTCTTAAATGTTTTTACACAAAACCGAAAAAATATATACCGACCTATTTTACTTTTTCAGGTAACAAAGACTGCAAAGTTTTCCCAAAATGCCGTGGTCAGATGGGGGACGGCTACGAGCCTATCAGTAGCGTAGAGTCCGTCAGTACGAAATATCACGAATATCACGTCAATATGACTAATCTCGTAGCCTTAGCGGGACCGTAGTCAAGACTAAATCTCTCTATTCATAGGTACGGCACGGTTAAAATTCCGTTGCCAATTTAACCCATGCCCTTCATTCAGGGCCGTAACTAGAACGATAATTGGGGGGGGGGGTGTTTATTCATATATTCAGTTCTGCCCTGCGGATTTCTTTTGTAAGTGCAATAGCTCACAATGGAAATCCGTGGGGCCGAACTGAATATATGAATAAACACCCCCCCCCCAATTATCGTTCTAGTTACGGCCCTGCCTACATTTGTATTGGTAGTCTGAGCATACGGGTAAAATTAGGTGTGTCAATTCTTGTAAAAGCAATCCCAAACCAATGATATCAATTTCAGGAAACGTTACCTCCATGCTCATCTTCATCTTCATCAGCTTCGCCCACGTTTCTACCTGAAAAAGAAATGAAGTGATCAGGATGTGTTTAACATTTCGACGGCGAAAATGAACGTACAGTAAGTTGTGTTACTGTAGGTATCGTTTGATAAATTAGTCATTTCATGCTTGTTCACTTTTTTGATTCAGTTTAAATGTACTGTACGGCTACAGTATATACTTAAAAACTGTTAACGGCAGACAATTTAACAAGATGGAAGAGAAAACAAACTCCGAAAAACAACATCCTGTAAAACTCAAATTTTGCAAGGCTTTAGAAGATTTTGTTCTTTGGATGTTAAACATCATGTTTTCTCTTATATTTCTCTTCCTGTAAAAACTGGAAAGACGAAAACCTGATGCCGCAGTTTAAACAGTAATACGCTTATAAATAGGTTTCGGTATGTATTAAAGAGTACTCCCAATTGAAGAATACAAAGATTTAATCCAGGATGCATCGAACATCGGACAATTTTGAGCGATTGAAAAACACCTTTCGGTCGATAGCGCTATCCATCTTTTGTACCGCAGACCACTGCCGGTCACTGCAGAATATAAATCTTCAATCTCGAGAGTTACCGTATAGTATTCTGCAAATGGCCAATTCTAGCTACGATAAAACGAAGGTATGTGGACAATATGCAAACCAGGAACATCGTAAAAATGAGATCTATATAAATTATGTATGTACAGAAATAATTTATTCAGTTATTCTGCGGGAGTCAGGCGTTCCTGCAACTATTGAACAACAAATGAACCTGAGTGCATATAGGAATTTCAGGACAGCTTTTTTATTATCTTATCATTAGTTAATAATTATTATTACGAATTACTGGTGACTCGGCGCCACGCAAGACGAGTTTTATAGTCAATGTAAGGCCATAGTCATGAAGTTCGACTCTTGCCTGCTATAAAAGCACCGTTGTGCAGGGGTTCCAATATTACCTGAAAAGTTAGTATAAAAATTGCAAAATATTTGTCTTATTTATCAGAGTTTATCGGAACATACCTTTTTCAACATGACGTCAAACGTGGAAAGAGTGATGTTCGAGGTTTGATTAGCTTGTTAGTTTTGCGGAGGCAAGAACACTTGCCATTTGATTTGACGTCATTTAAGCCGATTAGGTAAAAATATAAAAAACATACCAATTTTTATGGCCTGTTGGATGGCCAGTTGCAATCGTTGCAGTTCTTTGTCCTTCTTAATATCCTTTGGTTTTTCCGATAACAATCTTTCAAGGGAATATTTCACCGGACCAGTTTCCTTCGCTCGGGCAACGAAAGGACTGATTGGAGTTAGAGGACTACCTATTGTACGAGGATCAAGATACATCATTATTTGTAAACAGGGAAAATAATTGGTTCGCATTCCGATAAGGTTCTAATGTCCTTTTATTGTTATCTTGCTCGAGAGTCGAAGACGTGTATGCATGGGGTTTTTCCGTTTCCTTAGAAGAACGATATTAAAATTAAACCACCTTTATACCCGTTTCAGATGTCGAATTTTTCATGTGTCGAACCTAATGTAAACGAGCTAAAGTCTTTGCCAAAAAGTAGCAATGTCCATGTATATCAACATACACCGATATACATCATGTTTACTGCATAAAAACTGCATAAACGCATGAAACTTATATGAATGACGAATGGTCTGTTGTTGTATGGTTTACCTGCTATGGGAGTCACAGATTTCTCTGGTGTTCTTACATCAGGGATAACGCGGTTGTCAGACAGGAAGCCAACTGGATTGAATAGTTCATCATCAGAAGACTCTGACTGATCGGTAACACATTCACCTTAAAGAACACGATTAGGTATATTATAATCAATATTGTTAATGATCATAATCAACAGATATTAGTGATGAATATTCATTAGTGATCAAAAACCTTGAAAAGTTTGGCAACTTTGGCAAAAGTCCTCTAGGCTTTTACTAAAACTTTTTCGGTTGAACATCTAATCACTAATATTTTTCATGCAATGCTTTAAAATCATTTCTCCCATGTTGTTCAAATAAAGATTACTTTATACATTTAGCTGTTTCGTCCTCGTTCTTAATGTTGTTAGCACTGCTGATGGCTGGACGCCCCTGACCAATACGAGCTGTCACGTCGGCCGACTTTTCTTCACAGGTATTTTTCTTTTCGGAATTATCTAACGTTTTTTTAAGTTCCGTTTTTAGGTCTTTAGAAACAAGATCATCCTCTTTATCTTCTAAACTATCGCTTGTTTTGATAACTTCGCCATGATTTGTTCCATATTCTACTTCCATTTCTGATGGCTCTTTTTCTTCATGCGCATCAATTGAACAGTGTTTGCTATCAGAAAACAAATTTTCTGTTTCACTACACACAGTACCGGTACTGCCGTTTTCAGATGGAAAAGAGCAATTTTCTACAGCAAAGTTCTCTTTAACAGGTAACTTTATTTCAACATCGCAAACATCACTGATGTCTTTGTCATCTGTTTGAGGTGAAATCAGTTTCACTGCACTTGGGCACTTGTGATCAGGTATTTTCATAGAACGTAAATGAGAACTTTCAGTGGAAGTGTGTAGAGGTAAATTTGTCTCTTTACCCCTCAAAAAATCTACCTCCTTTTCTGCGGCTAGTCGTGACTCATTTTCAGGTTTCAGTGTCTTTGAAACCTTTGCACCACTGCTAAAATTGTTTAAACAATCATTTTGAATATTTACTCCAGCTTCGTTTTCACGTCTAGTTGAAACACCAGAGCTAAAAGAGGTACAATTCTTTTCACTAGATTTGCAATCGGTTTTTCCTTTCGTGTGATTTTTAAATTCAGGTTGCTCAATTAAACATTTCTTTGCCCTTTTCTCTAGGCCTGGGGTCCTTATATCCGAGGAATTTATTAATCCTCTTACTTCAAACTTCTGCTTGAAACCGTTTACAACTTTCGGTCCCCTAAGATCCTTGTTGGTGGTGATACGCGTGATATTGTTGTTTTCCAGTTGTTGAACTGTGATCGGAAGCTTTGTGGGTGATATATTTTCAATGGCGACGACAGCGGCTAATGGCTTTGCTTTAATATCTAAACAAATAAATAGGGCACATGATGGTATGCATGTTAATGACTAATATATTGAAAAATCTTTTCTGTAAGGTTGAGTAACAGTAACGAATCAGTGGCGTAGCCAGGGTAGAAATTTGGGGGAGCGACCAGTGAGTGGGGAAGTCACAAACTACCTAGGGGGGTCCGAGGGCATGCTCCCCCGGGAAAATTTTGGATTTCTAAGGCTTGGAAACGCCATTTCCCGCAAAGCCCCACCTTGCCCCCCTTGGCTACGCCACTGTAACGAATTTGTACAGTACATAGGCCAGTACGCGGCCATACATTCAATCTTACTATACCGCGAGTCCCAGTGTTTTTATGTCATCAATTGAGCTTCTTACACTGGCAATGTTTGCTGAAATTTTCTTCTTTTGATAGATGTGAATGAGTAATTAGTTACGAATGTTCTGATGTGTAAGAGCTCTTATGTATTTGAACATCCGTAACTAATGCACTCATCCACATCACACGAAAAAAAAATGGCAAGAAAAAGGTCATTTCAGTGAAATTAATTCATTTTAAGAAATAGAAATTTAAAGGTAGGATGTATTGATGGAACAGAAAATGGAACATTATTTTTAAACATTCAAAATGCAAATAAATGCACTTAGAGTTTAAAATCTAAATATTTCTGGGGGTGGGTGCACCCTCCAAACACCAAACCAAAATATGAAAATACAATAGAGTATATCAATTTTTTTGTTTTCAAGAAAGAAAGCTACGGTAGTTAACATTCAACTGAAGTACATATTACTGGTACATATATGTATTTTCAATGATTATTAGTATCTCAAAGTTTGGTGAGTTTACTGTACATACCAGAAGTTTGCTTAAAGAACTTCGTAATTGGAGGTGTTCTAAAAAGAAAGATCAAAGATATTGTAATTTAATAAATCAAATCCCATCATCTTTGGACCACACACTGGGCAAAAACAGTTTTAGATAATGGAATAGCCAAGGTGGAAGAAGTAACATACCACAACTAGGTAATAGTTTTTTCTACCAGCCAGGGGCTGGTTGTTTGTGCGGTGTTTAGCTTAATAGACAGCGGATAAGTGAAAGTTTAAAAATACTCTCATACATCTTGACTGAAACTAAATCTTATGCTTTAAATATGTACTTTAATTGAAAATTAAACTATTTAAAATGAAGTATTTTAGCTTAGTTGTTCAATAAATAAATTTTTTTTTTCCATTTTAAACTTATCAAATTATTGTTATTATTATTAAAGTTGCATGTTTAAAAGTTTAATGCCAGTATGTAAAATATTGAATACAAAAGTAATAATACAGTTACAAAAACTCCATATAAATATATATATAAACCATCATGTACAGATATGAGTTGAAATAATAAGTAAGTGTAGTAACAATTAATTTCATAAACACTGAGAGGAACTGCACAGGTCAGTAAGGAGCTGTTTATTTTCTCATTTCAATACCTCAGGTATTTTGAAAGTCATTTCACGCATCATTTAATCTTGGCTAAGCTGGATCATGCAAGCATTCCCTAAGGTCGAGTTGCTAATAATCAAGTTGATAAGGGCTGAGTGTGTATTAATTAGGTACTTGATCTGAGCACAAAACTAATGCACAGGTTAGGCTATCACAAGAAGAATGGCAGTGTAATATTCATATACAGTATTCAAAATAATAACAAAGATTAATATACAAGTATATACATCCTGCAAACAAGCTATAGTGATATCCTCATCTAGGATTCAAATTTACAGAGTAGTGAGCTGCAATTCTCTTTCATTGTTTAGTAATTCATGGTGCCTATTTCAATAATAACAAAATAGGTAAAACACATACTACATGGCCATTTTTGATTAGATGACCATTTAGACACTTTCTGAATTTGCTTGAGTGCATACATAACAATAGCTTCAAAACGAGGCGGTCAATGGAATTTATTGTTAGTGGGATTGTTTTCATTGCCCAAGTACAAACTTGGGAAGTGTCCATTGGACCATAATTGACAGGTGCATGACAGAAATAAAACATGTGCCATTCAATATATGCTGGAAATCTCAAATTTTGGCAAATAATAAAACATATTGTACTAAAGATTACATATAAAGATTGTATTTAACACTGTTAGTGTTTAATATATCGAGTATAAACCTTGTATTTGTAAACTTTGTTTGTTTAAATGTTTATATTCTTGCCGTATGCTCGATTAATTTAAGATATTCGGTTCTTCAAGATGCATAACATGCATAAAATTTACAGTGCACAAGTGCATTGTCTAGAATGTAATAATTGTTCTGTAATGCTGCTGCTGCGCATTAAGGTCTCTTGACACTAAATTTTTTCAGACCAATTCACTTCTGTTAGACGTTTATAGTCGGTTCAATACAGTCTAATTCAATGGTTGAATATGGCCAGCAATTTCACTAAAACCAAAGCTTTGCAGCTTTTTAAACTTCATTCATACGACAGAAGTGATTGGAAGTTGGATCGTGTGAATAGGCCTTAAGAACAAAGACTTACCCTTTAAGACATTTTACAGCTTTCAACTTTCGTTTCATAATACGGCAGCTCTTTGTTTTAATTTTTAATTTTCGTTTATTACGATTCCCGCGCGTTCCCGCCAAGTTAGAATGGTCGAACGATCGAACGAAGAACGAACCATTCAAACGACGCTTTACGACGATGTCACGACAATTCACGAAAATGTCACGTGATTTCTGCTCGTTTGTTGTGATTGTTTGTGACTCAGTTGTTAGTCACCACTCACCACTCACCATGCTCAATGAAATAGTTGAAATGAGTTGAAATGAATTGCAACAAATTCCATGATGTTTAGTAAAACAAGCTTCTCATGGAAGCGTAAACGATGTAAAAATGTGTCAAATTCACTCCCAGCATCGTTCTCAGCAGACGACGACGTAGTAAATGAACCTTTGATCGAAGATTGGCGTTCTCTGACGAAGAAATCTAAACATCAACAGGCCCTGCTTGAAGATCGCATTACAAAAGGCATTCGCTTGAAAAACGAAGGCATCGCTCTGGCTGAGCTGCAAAGGCAAGTGAAATTAGTTAAATTATGGCAGTATCTTGTATTATTTTGTTTAAGCATGAGTATAACAGGTGTTGAAGCTAGGTATATAATCTGATGACCTCTGTTAGTCTGGTATTGAACACCTGCGGCTGTTCGCGGCAGAAAAAAGAGAAAGAGCACACATTTATCACGAAAGAAGACTAAAATATTTCGACATAAATACAACGATATTGTTTTAATATACACATAGAACATATCAGATTTAAGTTAAATTGTTCTCAACATGTATGGTCTTCACATATTTGGCTTTATATACGCCCCAGTGCTGGGGTCATGTCGAGGGTCATGTTTATTTCACTTTTGCACTTTGGGACGCTCGTTAAAAGCAAATTATCTAAGATTTCTACATTTATATTATGTTTGACGTTAGAAAAGATGATTTGTTGACTTTGTATTAACGAATATAGCAGTAGGCTGCGGTTCATATCCGGCATGTTCATATCCTGCATTCCTGCTGATTCTTTCCCCCCTATGTGACGTGGCGGTTTAATATTGCTTTTTCAGATGCATTCCAATATAAGGAGGCATCATCAAACACCTTCACTTCAAGTGTGGTATAACAACTGCCAGAAATTGAGAAAAAACCTTTTGACCTAAGTTCCTGCATCAAAGGCATTCAGGCCAAAAGGTTGAGAGGTTGTTTTTGTTGAATTTAGGCAGTTGTTATATAAACCACATTTGATGCAAGGTTATCGGTTTATAAAACAGTAATGAAAATAATGGTCAATAAATGTTAAAACTTGCTGTAAAATAACAGTGTATAAAATATATAAACAAATGTAATAACCCATAAAATAATTTTAGTATTTAAACCATGCCAAAGATTCCATTTCATTTCATTGCAATGAAACCCAACTGTTTACACTGAAGGGAAATGATGGGAAAATGTAGAATGAAAACATGAGAGCCTTTATCCCTTGGCTCAAGTCGCCTCTTTAGGCTGAGACCTTCTCATAGCTGGGCGACACCTCCTCAGGCCAAAACCATCTTGTCCCTAGGCCAAAGCCTTTTTATCTCTGGGCTAAAGCTTTTTTATCTTTAAGCTCAGGTTTTCTCATCCTCCCAAAGCCTTCTAACCCCCTAGGCTCAGTCATTCTCATTTCTACGCCACAGCATTCACATCTCTAGACCCAAGCCTCCTCACTCCACGCTATAGCATCCTCATCTCTAAGCTCAAGCCTCAAGCATTCTTGTCTCTAGGTTCAAGCTTTCTCATCCTCATATTGTTGTAGTGTGTTAGCAATCAATAAGTCAAATATGCACCCAGTATTGGTAAATGTTTTTGTTAATTTTGTTGGCAAGATGATCAGGGAAATTAGGCTATTCAAGATACACAACATGAGTGTGGCCAGATCTGGTAATTTTTATGACTTGAATGTACAATTCCCCCAAAATATTGTTGATTTTATATGGATTAAATTAGATTTGTTCCTATTTAGCTAGATTAGGAAGATGCAATTAATTAGGAAGATTAGGAAGATAAAAATCCTGAGCCTAGGGATAAAATGCTTTAGCCCAGAGGCAGAGATAAAAAGGCTTTTTATCATGTTTTCATGACACATCGAAAATTTCGATCAGCTATTTTATTGATACCTACTCAAAGTTCCCAATGAAAAGACATTTTACCGGCGGAAATGCTTTCGCATGCATTATGCGTTAAAACCGGCCGAATAAAAACATTTTTAAGCCATTTTGTCTTTCCAATTTCCATGCCGCGATAACTCATTAATAGATGTGCAAACCTAAGGCTATACCGTCTATTGTAATATTGCCAATTTTTATTGGTCGTTTCATGAGCTGTTAAAATTGTTTACGACTGTTTTAAATTTGCCTGTTTACGACTGTTTTAAATTAAAATCGCTATGACTATGGCTATGATAAAAGAAATCACTGAACTGAAACTCGGACAAATCGGGACAATAGATGGGTTTTCATTTTACGGATTTACGATCTTTTGAAATTGTTTCGGTGTTTGCCAAGTAAAATAAAAAAATACCGAACACAAACACACATGCACGGATGAAGACCACATTACAAAAAGTATTCGCTTGAAAAACGGAAGGCATTGCGAGTCTGGCTGAGGTACAAAGGCAAGTGAAAATGTGAAATTAGTGAAATAATGGCAATTGCAATAGCAAATAGGTTTGAATAATATATTGATGACCTCTGCTATTAAACACCTGCATGAAGCCGTTTGGGTTAAACGGTGGGTAGCCACGCATTTTATCATAAAGCTCAGAAGAGAAAGACCATGCACGCATTTATTACAGAAGAAAACTAAAATCTTTCGACATAAATACAACGATATTGTTTCAACAATACATATAGCATATCAAATTTAAGTTCAATGTTCACAACATCTATGTCAGTATATATGATCATATTTGTAATACACATTATTTTTGTCCTGTCCACCCCTTTGCCGGAACAATTAAGTATTTCACATGGGGACGCTCGTTCTAAACAAACTTCTGATATTTCTTTACATTTTTATCATGTTTTACGTTCAGAAAAAATTTTTTTGGAGTACTATACGGCCGTAGGCAGTCTTTGAGTGATATTGTATATTGTGCTGTGTATGATGTAGCGGTTATGGGTTTAGCCTTCAGATACATTTCAATGTAACTAGGGGGCAGCATGGCGGCGTATTCAAACAACCTGTACATGAAACGTTGTACAACCACTGTCAAAACAACACGTTCTGGATATTTCGGCCTAAGTAACGAAAAAACAGACCTTACCTAGGACAGATGTTATGTGACACCCCACTGTTCACACTGAAGGAAATGGGCGGGAAATGTGCCATGAAACACCTGTGCCTCTTTATCCTCATACTCAAGTTTCCTCTTAAGACTCAGGCCTTCTCATCTCTGGGCTAAAGCTGGTTTTCCACAACGGTTATTTTTTATAAAACTTCTCGCATCCAGGTCTCCTTATCTATCGACTCAACATTCTAAGCGCCCTCGCATGCAGGCTCAGCCCCTTCTCGTGTAGGTTCCAGCGTTCTCCTGTCTAGGATCAAAACTTCTCATCTCAAGGCTCAAGTATTCTCATATGTGTAGGCTCAAGTGTTCTCATCTGTATAAGCTCAAGTATTCTCATCTGTTGGCTAAGATCAAAGCTTCTCATCTCTAAGCTCGTGCGAGCATTGCTTACACCCAAGTGTTCTCATTTCTAGGTTCAAGCTTTATCCTGTCCAAAGGGACTAGGATCAAAGCTTCTGACCTCTACACTCGAGTGTTCTCATCTGTAGGCTCAAGCATTTTACTGTCTAGAATCAAAGTTTCTCATCTCTAGGCTCAAGCATTGTACTGTCTAGGATCAAAGCTTCTCATCTCTAGGCTCAAGTGTTCCCATCTAGGATGAAGTGTTCTCATCTCTAGGTTCAAGCTTTCTCCTGTCTATAGGGACTACATATGATCAAAGCTTCTCACCTCTAGGCTCAAGTGTTCTCATCTCTAGGCTCAAGCAGTTTACTATTTAGGATCAAAGCTTAATCTCATCTGTATAGGCTCAAGCATTTTACTATTTAGGATCAAAGTTTCTGATCTCTGACCTCAAGCATTCTCCTGTCTAGGATCAAAGCTTCTCATCTCTAGGCTTAAGTATTTTATTGTTTAGGATCAGAGCTTCTCATCTCTGGACTCATACATTGTACTGTCTAGGTTCAAAGTTTCTCCTCTCTATAGGCTGAAGCATTCTCCTGTCTAGGATCAAAGCTTCTCATCTCTAGGCTCAAGCATTTTACTGTTTAGGATCAAAGCTTCTCCTCTCTATAGGCTGAAGCATTCTCCTGTCTACGATCAAAGCTTCTCATCTCTATAGGCTCAAGCATTTTACTGTTTAGGATCAAAGCTTCTCATCTCTAGGCTTAAGCATTTTACTGTTTAGGATCAAAGCTTCTCCTCTCTATAGGCTGAAGCATTCTCCTGTCTAGGATCAAAGCTTCTCATCTCTAGGCTCAAGCATTTTACTGTTTAGGATCAAAGCTTCTCATCTCTAGGCTTAAGCATTTTACTGTTTAGGATCAAAACTTCTCCTCTCTATAGGCTGAAGCATTCTCCTGTCTAGGATCAAAGCTTCTCATCTCTAGGCTCAAGCATTTTACTGTTTAGGATCAAAGCTTCTTATCTCTAGGCTCAAGCATTTTACTGTCTAGGATCAAAGCTTCTCATCTCTAGGCTTAAGCATTTTACTGTTTAGGATCAAAGCTTCTCACCTCTGGGCTCAAACATTGTACTGTCTAGGATCAAAGTTTCTCATCTCTAGGCTCAAGCATTCTTCTGTCTAGCATCAAAGCTTCTCATATCTACATAGGCTAAAGTGTTTTCTTCTTGAGGTTGAAGCTTTTTCCTGGCTAGGATCAAAGCTTATCTCTAGGCTCATGCATGTGTTCTCATCTAGGATCAACTGTTCTCTCTACGTTCAAGGCACATGACTATACGAGCGATTAATTGTTACTTTTTTCTCATCAGTACAGTATTTTTATTCACACACAAAATGATTAATTTTATTATTAAACAGCTTTTGTATACGCTAGCTGTATAAACAAAAGCTTGTATTGAACTTATACATTTTATATATGCCTATCTAACCCTATCAAATGTAAAATACATATTAACATGCAATACAGAGTTTACATTCAAGATATCCGTCCATGCACCTGAAACCACATTGGATTTATATTATGCAGAAAATAATTTCAGGTGTTCTATATATATATTTGCTTTTAACCTTCGTTATAGCTATATATGATTCAAAAGATAAAAGTTTTCTGTGAAATCGTTATTTTTTTACTGGTCTTTCCTGATTTTAAGCACGCTTAGGATTCTGATCGCCTCCGTGTAAAGGATGTTATTTTTCCAGAAAAATATTAAACAGTTGAACGTGGAATTCATGGAGATGATTGTTTTTGTCCAAAGCCAGGATAGCCGTACATTAGTTGACCCGGCTTTTGCTGAAAA